GGCCCCCGCACTATCCCCCCCCCCCGCCACTCTACGGCGGCTCCAACTAATATCATTCCCATGCAGAGCGTACGCACCAATCACCTATCGAACTCTACTGAACTTACTCCATACGACTGCTGGCGACGTGTCACCAGCTAAGCCCATCGTGCGGACCCCACAATAATTCCTTAAGGTGAGCCCTCAATCCCCATATCGTAATTTAAGTATATAAATCATCCACATTCATAAGGGCATGAAAAAAACACAGATTTTAGATGATCAATTTTTTGTTAATTTTTTTTAGCTAATTTAATCCTAATTTCATAAGCATCGAATAAATAAAATTCAGGAATTTTTGGTAGAAAGTTTAAGCTTCCAAGCAATTTCAAAAAGGCCAATACGAAAACTAATAACTTAAGAAGGAAGGATTATATCTAATATTTTATTAGATAATTTAATCTAGTATTTTATTAGAAAATTTAAATTCTTATGTATTTATGTGTCCCATATTCAAATTTTAATATTTATATTTATAATATTTTGAAATTATAATTTAATAAATAGTGATGGCGATGTTTTTTAATTGATGTTAGATATATAAGAACTATGTGGTATGGATATAAATGTCATAATTGTACTGTATGTTTTTTAGGACATATTTTCATCAATTTTAAATTTATTTGAAGTAAATCTGTACAATTAATTTTGAATGGTTATACATAAATTAATTATATTTTATTTTTTATATTATAATAATTAAATCATTTAATTTTTAAGATGTGAAATACAATTTTAAATTTAGATACATAGAGTTTAAGTGTTATACTGTAAATTTATATAAAAAATAATAATAAAATAAAATAAAATAAAAGGCAAACGCCTATAAAAGAAACCCCCCCACAGTTGCTCCCAAATCGCGTGAGATAATCGGAAGCCGGTTTTCCGGCGAGGAATCCGGCGAGAGAGAGTGCGGGAAGGGATTGGAAGCAATCAACGCTACAGAACCTGCAAACGGTACCCTAACGGTTGAGGCTGGAACCTTGTGATGTGCCTGTTAGGAAACCCTCCTCTCGGGGCCGAGAGGAGGAAGACGATCCCGTCGGCGAAAGCAGTGGCATCGATCGGTGAAGAACACATCCGCGCTTCAGCTGCCAAGAGAAACGAGTTGTAGGAACATCACCTCGATCGGTAATCACCACAGAAGATTTTATTTGATCGGATTAGGCATGCTTGATGATTTGCCCTAATCTTCTTCTTCTTGTACCAGGATTTCAATTCGGCTACGATGTCGGCGTCTGCGATGATTGGCGAGGCAGCGGAGGAAGAGGAGGAGTTTGGGTTCACGGAGTGCGAGTGCTGTGGGTTGACGGAGGAGTGCACGGCTGCGTACGTGACGGCGGTGCGTGCGAGGTACGGTGGGAGGTGGATCTGCGGGCTCTGCGCCGAGGTGGTGGATGATGAGATCTGCCGGTCGGCGAGGCTGATCTCTATGGAGGAGGCGTTACAGCGGCAAAAGAGTTTCTGCTTGAGTTTCCGATCGGCGACGTTTCCGCCGACGACGGAGACCGGCGATCATCTTATTGCAGTCGTTAGGAGGCTTATTCGCCGGAGCCTTGACTCGCCGCCCCGCGTGCTGCTGTCTGCCTCTGCAAGTACTTCCAGGAGGGTTCCCACTGTCTCCGGCCAGTCAAAAACCTGCCTGGCCACTATTGGAGATAATTACCTCAGCGATGCCGGAGATGCAGATCTTCTCGAGGTAAAGGGATTGAAATTCAATTAGTTTCTGATGGTGAAATCGGAATTTAAATGAAAATAATGAAAGATTCATCAGAGATTTGGGAGGGGATTACATCTATAACGAATAATTACCAAAAAAAAGAAAAAGAAGGCTGAGAGCAACTCTGATCTTCTTACTGCTTCGGAGGGCGGAGAAATTTGAAAAAAAAATTGAGAGTTCTTAGGCTTGGGGCTTGTGTTTTTTATTTTAATGCAATCAGTAAGTGTAAAATACCAAATTTCCAATATTGTTTTAAGCTTTTTGTTGATGCTTGTTCATCTGTCATATAACTCTATGCTCTATTTTGTTCATCTTTATTCAAAAATGAATTGCTTTTCAGCTACCGTTTTGCTGATGATGACAAGTATTGATTTTTATATTAAAAACGTGCATCAAGTTTGTTGGCGATAACATTTGGTATCAATGACATGCATTGACCTAATTGATAATGCGTGCATCGATATAAGTGTTCATGACATTTATCAATATTTATAATTACATACATCATCATATCATTATGATGGACGGCGTGCATTAACTTTGTTGACTATAACTTGTGTTGATGTTAGTGTTGACAATGTGTGTTGCTTTTATTAGTGATGATGAGCATTGATGTTTATATCGATTATGTGCATTGGCCTTGTTTGCGATGTAAGTCATCGATAGTGGATGTTAACGTTGTTGGTGCAAAATAGGGATGGTCAAGTGATACATGTTGAGTGATTAGTACTGACATTGGAGGTAAGGTAATCATAATTGGGCGATAGTAGTGTTTGGTGGTGATTGTCAGTGACATTCTTCATATAAAGTTCATTCCAACTTTAGGTCATAATCCATCCCCAACTCCATATCTTGTGTGATATGGAAGGCAATCTAAAATTTGTAAACACTCCATTAGAAGATCTATAGTATTCTCTTAATTATATTTCATGTTTTATGCATTTAAGGGTGTTAATGTCATTATATTTAGGTGATTTTGATTTTTGTTGAATTTCTTTCATCAGTATACTTGTTTTAATTATAATTATGCAATATTTTGAAATCTTTGATGTCTAATAATATCATAAAATATTAATCATATTTCGAGTGCATGATTTGGATTTTTTAAGATTTAGTTCTATGAATTTTTTGTTATTAGATTTGTCTTATCGAAACATTCATTTTAATTATAAAATTGAATTTCATATCATCTTAAATTTAATTGTGAAAAAAATTTAATTCAAATATTACATCAAAATTCACACTTGCTTAGATGAACTTTCCAATATCATCTATAATGGTATGTATGTAATTATCTGTTGAATCCCAAAATGTTCTTCGGGTCATGCCCAAGAGAGAGAGTATTGGACGGATGAGAGGAATTAAAAATTAAATAGAGAGAGTAGAGAGAGTAGAGTACCTAATAGTACATGTTCTCTTGGAATAGATTCATTGTTTTTTTTTGAAGAAATGACCCCCTATTTATAGATTATAGAGGATTTCTAATAAATTAAATGTTTGTCTCTGATTAAATAGGAATTTTCAAGTGATTAATGAATCATTACATTTTTACATATTTGTAACCCACCCTAATATCTTTTGATTTCAGTAAACGATTTTTGCACCGTTCCATATTTGTAACCGCTACTTGTATCGTTTTGTATTCATAACTGTTCAACTTGGTCGCTTGATAGTCGCTCGCTCGATTGAAAGTCCTTTGGTTTGGCCTATAGATCTTCAATCGACTTTCTGGAGGGAACCCTTTGTGGAGACCCCGTTATCCTTAGGAAGGGTTTACTCCATCAGATAAAGGGTGCATCATTATAATATGATGGACAACCTTTCTTTAGAGAAGAGGTCTTCATAGAAAATTGAGGAGTTCTGCAAAGCGACTGTTGATCTTCTCCGCGAGTGACCCAAAATCGATTGAGGGAGTCGATTTTGTACGGTCGCCATTGGTGTACAGTGTTCCTTAGCTCAGATTTCACTTTCTTTTGGTTGGCCAATGTTCCAACCAAATGAAATGATGCTTGATGGTTTAGTCTTTTGACCGTGATGATGCGGCTCTTTGGTTTCTTCTTTGTGTGATCCGTTGAACTTTCTCAAGATTCATGTAGTTAGATTTTCGATGTACATTATCCCTTGTATTTATTATATATATTTTTTCTATTTTTATATTAATATTATCGATAATGATGTTGAGTTAAGTATAAATAAGAAACATATATTAAATCATAAGTTGCAGTCCTTTAAGTAATAATCATTACAACTATAAATTTAAGAGAGACTAAACATGAGCAATGTTGAGTCTTTGTTATGACCTATGTGACCAACTATTATTTATACGGCTCATAGCTCACACAACTCTCAACTCCGACTTATGTGGGCTACGAATGTTGTTACATGTCCCCTTTACAGTATATATGATAAACATAATTCATAGTTCACACAGCTCTCTACTATGACCTCTATGACCAACCGATAATTCTGAAGCAACCATTTACGACCCAACTGACCAACAACTACAATGACTTTCAACTACGACCTCTACGATAAGCTGACATTACAACCATCATCTACAACATTCATGACATATTATTGCCCTTTAAGAATTGACTACGACCTTCGCAATCCATTATAACTATTATTGTTGAAATATCATTATACATCAACTTTATAACTCCATTTTTTTGTAACTTAAAAAAAGATTGAGCTTGTGCACTTATTTACGCTGAACTAGACTTCGTAGTTTTTATTTTTCTTTATAGGATTTTCATGTAATTATAGTGATTTCTACGTAAAAAAATAATGGTGTCTATTATCAGAGTTTGTGTTCGGATTTTTGCAAAACATTAAGATATTAAATAGTTGCTGTATGATTGCAAATGTGCAGACACACAACAATATTAAATGATATAATTTACTGTTGGCCATGGTGATGTATTGTGGAGCGGTGAGTTGTGGCATAAGATTCTTTCAGCTGTGAAGCCAGATGGAATAGATATTTAACTGTATACATAAATAAGCACCTTTTTCATATGCGCACTTCATTATTCTTTGTTTTTATTAATGGAAAATGGTTTATTTTCATCAGCAAACAAATATGACTATTAAGTTTAAATTATTGTTGATAATTACACTTACTTGTGTGGCTGCCACCGCTACACGAAAATGACTACGACAAGACTAGGAGACAAATGCAAGGGATAAAAATTAAAAGCATAAAATTTGTTGTTGTTGTTGTTGTTGTTGTTGTTGTTGTTGTTGTTCTTCTATTTAAGGAATAAGCATCCGAAACTATAAAATGACACAAAAAGACACGGCCCATCTTCCTCAAGTTAACCTAATTAAACCATTGGACCAGCTAGACCTATCTTAGACAAACCTAAAATCAACCCAACCCGCTGGGACAACCTAACCTGACTCAGGCTAACCCAAAGATAACTTTTCTTTGGGACAATCTTACTAAACTCTGATCAACCCGACTTGTGACTTAACTTCAAGCCTGACTTAAGTCTCAACCTCAAATTAATCAAGGATTGATTAATTCTAACCTGACTTAGACTTAAAATAACAACTCAAGTCTAAATTAACTTGGACTTTACTTAAATCTAATTTAACTTAAGCGTGATTTAACCTCGAAAGCTTAACTTGGATCAGTCCGACTCAACTTGGTCCGTCCTTAATTTAATCCGACTTGGTTTAACTTAGCTTACCTTAAGTCAATCTAAACCAAGCAAAACTAGTTTGACTCCAATTAAACTAAGTCAGTCTGGATAAATCCTGTTAAATTTTGGTCAATTTAAACAATTTAAAGATAATCTGAGGGACAACCAGCCTAATTCAAGTTAACTCGGATTACCCGGAGTCTCATCTTAGATCAATTCAACCCAACTTGACCTAATCTAAAATTAACCAAAAAATAGGTGATTGAAGGTCAAGCAAGGTTTGACTTCTCATAAGAGAACAAAATCACACTTAACCTTAGCCAGGGACAATTTGGGCTAAGGTACCAAACTAACCTAAATGAAACGACTTAAAATCCAACCTAAAAGACAAACTCAAACTTGAACTAAAAAATTCAGCTTGGTTTGAGAAGATATTTTGGAGATGGCAACTCATGACTGCTAACGAAATATCTTTTAGTCACTTGTGACTAATTAAACTGCAAACCCCAATAATCTCGGGACGACAATACCATAGGATCTTGATTGGGTCATCCCAAACAACAAAAATAAAACACAAAATGACAAAACAATTAATCGAGTAATAAGTTTTAAGCAACCTAAAATTTTCGAACACTAAAATATGAAAAATACATTAAATTTTAAATAAAACCCTAATGAACAAAGATTACTGAACGCAACTTAAACCTCGAATACCCAGGTCTACGAAGATTTCTTGTATGATGCAACCCATGATTGCTGACAGAAATCTTTCAGTCCAAACAAGTTTGACCACATCTCGGACTAAGTAGATCAGGGAACCCGACAACCCTGAGATGATGGGAAAGCATACACATATTAAGCGAGTTGTCTAAAATTAAAAAAAAAACAATCAATCAATTAAACCAAAATTGATTTATGCTAACTCTATTTTGCAGAGCTGCTGAAGACAAAAAGCGGATGTCACCTTAGATTTACTTTGCTTGTTATTAGGGTGTGCTAACTCTGTTTTGCATTGACGGATATTCAAAACTCGAAGCAAAATGATGAACCTCAACTAAACTATTAACGACAAAATAAAACTTTTGGGTAGTTCAGAATCTTTAGGAATCCGTTACTCTTAGGATATGACTGACATTTCTTTTCTTGCCAACGACATTTGAACTTTTGGAGAACAAATTATAATCTTAATCGGGGGTTATCTTAAGTAGTCTTGACTACTTAAGATATAACTAACTTTAGAGACTTGTTCTTATAGGAGGATGCAAACTCTAGAATAGGTACATCAACTTGAATTCTCTAGTAGTTAGTTTTCGTAAGATTTGCTTCACAATTATGTCTTTAAAGCATACTGAGTTGATCTCACTTTGGATTTATGTTTTAGAACTATCAATGAAAAAATTCACTTTATGAAAGCTTTTCGAACACTTCTTTTGTTTGTTTCCGTTATAACTTGCCCCAATCCACCGATTTCTCATCTCTTCGTTCATCTACATGAGTTAATAAGATGGAGAATTATTTGTAGAAAAGAGCAATATAACAAAAACAAATTGGTGACTCCACAATGCCAACGACGACGTCAAGCAAATGACGAAATGAAGACCGACAGTGCAAAAACGAGCGGCTACAGACACATAAAAATTTAGGGTTGGGCTCTAGTTGAACCCGAAAACCCGAATATGAAACGAATAAACACAAAAAAATTAGTTTTACTTTTAACTCTTGTACCATTGCTTGTCATTTATGCACACAGAATTTTTTTAATTTGCCTATTGTTACTTGTTAAATGTTAGAAGTATAATAATACAAAAAAATTGAGCTGACAGGTTAAATGGGTTCGGGTTAACTGTGTCTGATTTGAGTCAGGTTCTGTGGTTGAGTTGAGCCAAACAGACCCATATATGATATGAGATTTTACGAGTTTTCAATGCTTTTTGGACCCGAGTCTGACCCTACGCCCCGCCACCCAACCCAGCCCACCCAGACCCACGTGCCGACAGAGGAGGTTCGAAGCTTCGCCGCTGGCCATCGTCGTCCTCTCATAGCGTACGACGAACGAACCCCTAAGCCAATTCTGTGTTCCTTAATTCCCTAAACTCCTTTGCTCAGTTATCATTCCTTCTCAACCGGAGCCTCGATTACATCTTTGATGATCGCCTGCGGAAACCCTAAAACTCATCTCCGCCAATCGTAATAGCGTAATTCACGAGCATGCAGGAGAGGACGAGGCTCTCCCGTAAGTTTTCCGCTGTATTTATTAGTCTCTGTGCTTTGGTTCCCCTTTTACTCTTTTACAACAGAGATGGCGTGATCCGGAACCCTCTACGCCCCCGAAACTCTAACTTTCACGTTCCCTGGCGGTTGGCTCAACTCACTCCTACGAGTCATCGGCGGCTGATGGAGTTTTCTTCGAGCAATTCTTCGCAGGTTTCCTTAGATAATGAACGGATGCTCGGGAATCCAACTGAAGCTTGCTTCGGACTAGAGCAACACAAGGGCTTCGCTTCGGGTTGCGATTTTCTGAAGTCCCATCCCGATTGCAATTCCGGTCGATTTATCAATTACATTTCCTTATTCTATTGCGGTTGTGAGAAATTTCAAATTTTAGGGTATGCTATTCTTGGTTTGTGGCTGCTGGCTCTTTTCTATCTATTGGGCAACACCGCTGCAGATTACTTCTGTTGTAGTCTTGCTAAGCTCTCTAATCTATTGAAGTTGCCCCCTACTGTTGCTGGGGTAACATTGCTTCCTCTTGGTAATGGCGCTCCTGATGTTTTTGCTAGTATCGCGGCTTTTGTGGGCTCTGAAGCTGGAGAGGTTGGTTTGAATAGCGTGCTTGGGGGCGCAGTCTTTGTTAGTTGTATGGTTGCTGGGATCATCAGCTTATGTGTTTCTGGTAAGAATGTAGAGATTGATCGGAGATGTTTCATTAGGGATATCGGATTCTTCTTGCTGACTTTAATGGCACTTTCATTAATCTTACTTGTTGGAAATGTGAGTGTTTGGGGAGCATTCATGTTTGTCTTTATCTATGCGGTGTACGCCTTCATGGTTGCAGCAAATGAGTTATTGAGGAAGCACGCCAAGATTCTTAAGTTGAATGCTGTGACCCCACTATTACCAGTTAGAGGGAGCATCTTCTCTCATGGAGACGAAGAAGATGACTCCATTTATAGCTCTCTTTTGGAAGATGACTTAGATAACGATGTGCCCCGATTGCATAGTAGCTTGCCTCAGTGGATGTGGGCATCAAATGTGGCAATCTACTCGAATGCCGGGCATGAGGGTGGCACGAGTGACAATTTAAGGCCTTTGTGGGGATGGAGCGAGGATGTAGAAGAAGATCATACAATCTTTTCTTGTAGCAAACTTTTTATGGTTATTCAGATTCCACTTTTGCTCCCACGAAAGCTGACGATTCCCGTTGTTGAAGAAGAAAGGTGGTCTAAACCTTATGCCGTGGCCAGCGCAATACTGGCGCCTTTTCTCTTGGCATTTTTGTGGAATTCAGGAGAAAGTGAGAGTAACACTATAAAATTAACTCCTTTTTTATTAGGTAGTCTCGCAGGCATCACCCTTGGTGTTCTTGCTTTCTTTTTTACAAGTCACGATCACCCGCCCCAAAGGTTCTTGTTTCCATGGATTTTTGGAGGCTTTTTGATGAGCATTGTTTGGTTTTATATCATAGCCAACGAGTTGGTTGCCCTTTTCCTCGCTTTGGGTGTGATACTGGGAATCAATCCTTCGATTCTCGGACTTACAGTGATGGCGTGGGGTAATTCCATGGGTGATTTGATGTCGAATACTGCTCTAGCTTTGAATGGCGGTGACGGGGTTCAAGTTGCAATTTCAGGTTGCTATGCTGGACCTATGTTTAATACACTTGCTGGGCTAGGAATATCGATGCTTTTCGGAGCATTGTCTGCTGCGCCGTCTTCGTATGTCCTTCCAAAAGATGGCTCTTTGATTTATACAATGGGATTTCTTATGAGTGGGCTCATATGGTCTCTGCTAATCTTGCCAAGAAACAATATGCAGCCTAGCAAATTATTAGGTTTTGGCCTTATTGCAATATATGTTATATTTCTCGCTTTACAATTGTGTGCTGCTGGGGGTATTGTCTCAATTTTTGGTTTACAATGAGCCCCAAATCATTCATAGAAGGCTGTGCATAACTGGAAATTTATGGATATCCTATTTGCTTTCTGGAAATTATCTAAAAAGTGATCTCTCTATTGGTGGGTAAGAATTCTTTGCTATTTTTTTTCACTTTTATTGAATTATACTTGCAGTTGGTGTAACAGGCAATTAGAATTATATATTTAGTAGTAAGGCATGTTTTTTGATATGATCATTATTTAAGAGTTTTGTTTCTTTGAATATTCATCTATGAATAATGTCATATTTAGTAGTGAGACATATTTTTTGATATGATAATTATTTCAGAGTTTTGGTTCCTTGAAGATTCATATATGAATACGTTTATACTCATTATAAGTTTTATTGAAGTTGCTTAGGCAAATTACATCCAAGCACTGCTTATCATTCAAACATTCCGCTTCATGTGATCTTATTTATGTCCCGGTCTTTTGTATTGTTTGTCACCTGAAGTTTCATGAATCATGAGTGTCACAATTTCAACTTTGTGCAGAGGTTGCAGAATCTTGCTGGTATGTTTTTAATTATTGATTTTTATTAATGCAGCTGGGTTAAAATTTATTACCCTTTGCCATGTTATTTTACTTGCACTTCTTTTTGTTCAGCCTTGTAGTAACTATTTTTTTAATCCTTGCATTCAGCAATATTAGAGATTTATTTGGGATGGTCTCATTTGCATGTAAAATTAGTTGTGGAATTACTGCGGCAAAAGTATATTTATTGAAATTTTTTAAAGTTCTAGATGGTATATATTTTTTCTCTTTAGAAAAAGTCAAATTTTATTCTTCATATAGTTACCACATTAGTAGATTTGGTTGTGAAAAGCTCTTCATCCGCACATAAGTTTCTGGAATGCAACTAGAAAATGTTGTCAAATAGAAGTGCGACAGAGGTTGCCTACAGTGTGAGTTCATAAGTTTTAATAATTACTTTGATTTGGGGGTTACATGTTTGAATTTTGAAAACAATTTTTTATTTTGTATCATAATATAGAGAGCTAAGATTGAGTTTATTCCCTAGACCTTGCATTTATGGGAAAATTTATATACTTTGAATACCCATTTTAATGGGGTAGAAAAAATATAAATGCTTTGGGTGTTGGTTTAAGTGCGATTTTTTAATTTTATTTATTTTGAACTTAAACGATTGAACTTTTCATTTCAATGACAACAACAACAAGCCTTTATCCTACTAAGTGGGGTTGGCTAGGTGAATCATTTTTTCTTCATTGTGTCCTACTGAGTGCATATTTTCATTTAATCCTAATAAATTAAGATAAACATGCCCAAGTCTTTTTAGAACTATATCTACCTTTCTTAACATAAGTCAAATCTAAAATATCTACTCTCCTAACTGGATCATCAGTTGGCCGACGTTTAATGTGACCAAATCATCTAAGAAGACTCTTTCTAATCTTATCCGCCACCGGAGCTACACCAACCCTTTCATGGATATATTCATTTTGCATTGTCTCTAAGTTTAAAGCCATTCTTGCACCTAAGCATTCTCGTCTCAGCCACATTTAACTTAGTTTATGTTTCTCTTTTATAGACCAACATTTTGCGCCATAAAGTATTGCAGGTATCACCAGCATTCTACGCCATAAAAATTATCACACAATAGCCAGATACGTTCCTCTACGTCAACCATCCAACTTTATTTCTACTAAATAACACCTATATCTATATCACCATCACTTTGAACGATAAGCTCAATATATCTACAACGTTCACTTCTTTTAATGGTTTGATCACCATTATTACAACTCTGCCACTAGATTTACTACTACTAAAATTACATTCCTTGTATTCGGTTTTAGATCTACTCAAACCAAGGCCTTTAAACTCTATAGTTGACCTCCATAATTCAAGTTTTTTATGAACTCTTTCTCTGGTTTTATCCACAAGAAAGATATCATCAGTGGAAAACATACATAAAGATACATTTTCCTGTAAATGTTTAGTAAGAGCATCGATAATTAAAGCCAAACGGTATGGGCTTAAAGTCGAACACTGTAAATGTCCAGGAAGAGCTTCCATTACTGAAACATTTCATTTGCAAAGTTAAAAAGCCCCAAAAGGATTTTATCACACATATGCGGACTATTATATGTGAAAATATCATAAAATTAGCTTTAATGAAAATATTTGCTTCAATTTATTTTTATATGTTCATCTTGTGATTGAATTCTCTTATTTTATGTTTATCATCATTTTATATTTCTTGTTGGGCAAATTATAAGGAGCACTTAATTTTGGTATTTTTGTGGAAGGAGTAAATTTTGAAAGGAGCTTAATCGCCCCCATTAAGGGCATTTTATATTAATTAATTAATTTCTCAATTTTATATATATATATATATATATATATATAGACTAGTATATTAAAGCGGAAAACGTACAAAAAAGTTGTATGAGAGAGTCTAAAAGAAAGCCCAACACACACAATACAACATACACAAATCCCAAATAAAGTAAAGGTACATAAATGTAAAAAATCAAAAAGCCACCAAAGGGCGCAAAAGTGCTAGTGACGTCCTACTTTAGTCCTCCCTCTGTCTCTAGTTTTCAGAAGTGAACTGACTAACAAATTGGTAAGGTGAGTACCATTACCCGAAGTAACCAAAGTATCATCCATCATACTCCTGAGTAGGTCTCCATTATTCTTCTTCCTCTTGGATGTGTAGACCTGTCATTCCTCATCCAATGATTGGCTCATCTGATTAGTAGACCAGACAGGTGTAGGTTGTTGCACATCATGATCCCCGTGAGCTTGAGTAACATTAACAACTTGCTCGACTTGATGAGGCGGGGATGAGAAGAGAGAAAATGAAGTAGTAGAAGTATTGCCACCTGTAATAATGGTGATATGTTTTATGACAAGTGGGGTCTGAAGAATCTCACTCTCCCCCACGATAGGAGGTTCCAAAAACGGGGGAACTACAATATTGTGTGGGGACTGAATGGTTGTCATTATGCCTGCGAGAATAGTGACGTCTTCAAGGGTATCTTTTTTATTATCAATAGTGTCAATAACTTGGAGCTGATCAGGACGAGATGAAATCACAGCTTGTGGCGGAGCACTATGCTTTTTTAATCTGAGGTGGGGGTGTAGATGACGACATTGAGAACTGGAGTGGTCGAACATACGACAGTTCGAGCAATACCAATGAAAAGACTCAATCACTACCTTTTGCCAATATCCTTGGCGTTGTGTGTCCAACCAAATTTCCTCAGAAGCGGATAAAGTGTTGTCTCTTTCAACAAGTACTTTGGATTCAGATGGACAGGAAAGATTAAAAGTATGAATACCCGTTTTGAGTGACTTACCATATGTTAAGGCAATAGAGTACAACACTTTTTGAGTAAAATAATGAATTTTCAGGCCGGGGAGGCGAATCCAAACCAGAATGATTGGTGGTTTCGTCTATGGGTCAAAATCAACAGACAATTTCAGAATCTTCATTGCTCTGTTATCAATCCAGATTATCCTTCTAGCAAATAAGCACTTATCCAGATTATCCTTCTAGCAAATAAGCACGTGTAATTCTCTTTATTATTTAGTTGTATTAGAATATGTCTTCCATCTAACAGTTCAATTTTCCACTCCTAACAAGGTGCATAAGTTCAAATTCTTTACGAATGAGCTCCATTTTGGGATAATTTTTAATAAATTTTTTGACCAAATTCAGTCGACAGGAGGACCTTTAGCTTCAGTAAAAAAGATGACAGACTTCTCATTCTTCATACCAGGTTTCTTGATGTCTTTCACCCACTCAAACGAATGAGTGAAAGAGCACGGTTTAGGTGTACTTGTGGCGTGGACACCCGCAAGGGCAACAACATACGATATGTCCGAAGCCATCCCCAATAGATGGATGTGCGACGTTAAGAATAGCTAAGAAAGCAAAGTAGAGAGCAAACTCCGAATCCAGAACAGGGAGCAGGAGTAGAAACCCGAAGCCCCTGCGATTTCAGCTCGAGCCCGAGGACGATGACTTGCTCGAAACAGAGGGCTGTTTCAGATTACAAAGGAAAAAGCGCGGTGTGCAGAAGCCTAGCTGGAAAGCGCGACCATCATTAACCGAGCTCGACGCAGCAAACAACAAACGAGATGCACGAGCGATGAAGCACGAGCAACAGACAACGCACAACGACAACGACGTCTGCGTGTGCGTGTGCGTGTGCGTGTGCGTGTGTGTGTACTAATGAAAAGCACAGGCTCTCATTTTATTTCATAAAAAGAAAATTACAAAATCGGGAAAGAGGTCCCACACACACACTACAATCAAAAAAAAAAGGGTTTTCTTTCAAAAAAAAAATAAAAATAAAAATAAAATAAAAATACAACTCAACACACCCTAAACTAGACATCCAACATTACTAAACGATTAAGATCATCTGGTAAAATATTATAAATAAATGGAGCACTCAGAAGAGATCCTCGCTTAGCAGCCCAATCAGCAATCGCATTTCCATCTCTCTTAGCATGAGACCAATAGATATTAAGATCTTTAGCCATGAATTTGATCTTCTTAACCTGCAAGTTAATACAACAATAACACACCATATCAGATCTGCACACTTTCCAAAGAGTAATAGAGTTCATTTCCAAAATAATATTATTCCATCCCATCTTTCACGCAAGCATCAAAGAAAAAACAATAGCATCAGCCTCAGCCTCAACCACAATCAAAGAAACAGGTAAAGCAATGGCAACAAACCATTAGGGGCAGCAAACCAATATAAAACAACATCATTCCAGTCCCTACAAACTCCACCAACTCCCGCACAGTTCATTTTTCAATAGCCATCAGAATTAATTTTAAACAAAGAAGCAGAATGTTTGATACACCTTTTATTGCAACAAGAACTAGCAACAATATTAAAGGAAATATAAAGATTAATAGCAACAGAAATCGTATATGTATTAGTATTCTCTTTTAAATTATTCATAGAAAGACTTTTATAAATATAGGAACAGATCATCGCAAAAGTCTTCATGAAAGTAAAAACCTCACCATTATGCTTAACAGAGTTCCTAGAAACCCAAATAAACCAACGCATAATAGAAGGAATGTTAGTTAAGAAATCATGCCCTTTACTTTTCCAATCCTCAAAGATTTTAGTAATGGTATTATGACCATTATAAACATCCATTCTACCACTCAGTTCAAAAATACTTTTCCAAATAGCACTAGCAAAATCACAGGAAATAAAAAATGCGTGAGAGTTTCCTCATTATATAATAAGTTTATTTATAATTTATAATTTTAATTACTTTTATTGATTTATAATTAAATTACATATTATTTTTAATTAGATATGTTAAATTTTAATTAATTATTAATAGTTTAATTAATAATTAATTAATGTATTAATTAGCTTAATTTATCACATCAAACTTGTAAGCCTATTAAAGTATATCTTATTCATCTTAGGACATTCATATAATAATTAAGACACATCAATATTTTTAATCATATTTATTTTGGTTACCTGGGCTCATGTTTCAAACTAAACAAAAAATCAAAGCATGGACTTCCCCTGCTTTGATCTTATACATCTTAAATGCAATTTTTATTGTGAAGCTCAGCCTGCATTTCCAGAACATGAATTTGTTCCTTGAAATCTGAATAGTGAACTTCCCCCCTGAAAGTCTACATTCTAGAATCAACCCATGAAACATCTTAGTAAACAATTAAATATAAGAAGATTTACTTGCATACCACTAAATTCCCATGTATTTACATATCTAACACCTGAACTTTAATTTTTACCCATATGTCGTCTTATCCATGCATGACAAAGCCGTAGTTTACTTTGTAAAAGTCTAAATAATGGTATTTTTGATGCTATAAAGAATTGTGGGTCGTATAAATGCAAATAGTAGAGTTTTGTTGTTGGATATATGTAAATACATAAAAAATGGATGGGATGTAAGTAAATGCCCCATAAATGTATTGCCCGAATCCATTTAATTAGAACAACATCATCTTGTTTTAGGGTTTCAAATATCATAATATTATCTTGAATGCAAACATTTACTTTATATTAGTTTTATTTTACTTATTTTGTAACTAAATTCACTCATCTTATTATGTTCCTCACCCTTCTTACTCTTCTGATTCACCAAGTCTTGCTTGCCCTTTTTCTTTTCAAATGCAACATGTCATAATTATATGCTATTATGTCACTTAAAAAGTCAAACTTTAGTTATTATTGAGTTCTACGTGCGAGTGAAAGATAGTCTTAACATTGAAATTGAAACGCAAGTTTTCTAATATATTAATAGTACCTCTATAAGACAAGTCTATTTTCCATTACTTTATATGCTATCCTCTTGACAAGTGGCATCAAAGCCATTGTTCAAATGGGATCTTGTTTTTGTCTAACCATGGTTAAGCATGACTCTAGGTTGTGTAACTCTTATGTAAGGCTCTCTATATAATTGAGTAATGATTGCTATGTGGGACTTAAATGTGAGGAAGAATATTTCTCTATAATTGAGTTGAGGTGTACAACTCATTGAATAATGAGGTGTAAGCATCATTATGATTTTTTTTTCTAAAAAACTATAAAGTATAACTATCATAAATCATAACTATCAGGGGCTCTTATTAAAAAAATGCCTCCTAATTTCCAAGAAAAAAATATGGCTTTATTCCTAATAATGAGCATAATCCTTACAATACTCTAAAAAGCCCTACTCAAATTGTAGTCTATTCATAAATATGAAAGCTAAAAAGGCACAAGCACTAATTTTGTTGTTTTACGCTAACTGTATTCATTCATATGACCTCTATATTAATTTGTCAGTGATAAGAAATTTCAACTCAACTAAAGCTTACAAACAGTCAATGTCATATCAAATATTTTTACCTCTCGACTAGATAATTAGTTTGATAAGTTTGGCTTTTAAGACTTCTTATAGTTTCAAATATGTTAATATCATTGCGAAGATTTGGCTTTTACCACCTCTTATATTTTCAAATATGGTATTCTCCAATTTAACAAAACTTTAATGAAGTGGATATTAAGGATAACTTAATGAGGTCTAGTTCATACACTAGTAGTGGTTCATGATACTTCTTGCTATGACATCAAGCTAGTTTACTCTCACCAACCAATCCAATTATCCCTAGGTCACATGTTGACTTTGACCTAGCTAGTCAACCAACCATAGTTGACCCAAGTCTTAATTGATTCTCTTCTAAGCCACCCTAGTAATATGCTTTACTTTACCCTAATTCAAGTATTGACTTCCCCACAAATGTATAGTTCACCTTTATTCAACCCTCGTACTTTGGCATCATACTAGAGGACCAGAGTGAGCCGAGTACACACTACTACATGCTAACCCAACCTTTTAAGGCAAACCTTGATTTTTACATGGGGACATTTACATACATGCCACTCAATTCCTATGTATTTACATATCCTACCGGTTCACTTTACTTTTATTTACAATTATACCACCCAAATCTTTAGTACCACATAAAAAATACCACTATTTTAACTTTACAATGTAAAATATACTCATACATAGGTAGGATGGCATAAATGTAAAAAATCAAGTTTGGGTATTAGATATGTAATTATGTAGGAATTGAGTGGTATTTATGCTCCATTGTTACAAGTGGCGTCTGGAGATGAATCTTAATTTGCATCTCTAGATCTAATTATAATGTAAGTAGGGGCGTAAACCAGTGCTCAGCTCGTGTTCGGCTCGTTTATATTTCGAGCTCAAAAAGTGTGTTCGTGTTCGGCTCGTTAAGCAAACGAGCCGAGTCGCAGGTGCATTAGATAGTCCAAAAGACATTCTACGAAAAGCAAATGTTTTGTATGTTTGAGCAAGATTTAAAAATTATTATTTATATTAAAACATCATTTGAATCTAATTTAATATTTTTTATTCTATTTTCTTAATCAATATTTTAATTGATTATAAATCTTTGATAACCTTATAGTCAATTAATTTTTTTTAAAATATTACTTTATATATATATATATATATATATATAGATGAGTAGTATTTCGAGCCGAACACGAACGAACACATCTTACTTCGTGTTCGGCTCGTTAACTTATCAAACGAAATTAATGAGCCGAGCACGAGTTGTTCGCGAACAACGAGCCGTTTTGACAGCCCTAAATGTAAGTTCTTGAGAGGAAGGTTTAAATTTTAATAGGTGTTAGTTGTCATAAAAGCAGAAGATGCATTTTATATTCTTACAATTTCAAATTAAAGCTAGCTCTACTTTCATCATACATTTTAACATTAATAATTATTGAAATATTGATGTTAAATAAATATTACTTTTAGAGATTTAAAATTTAGTATATAATTTATTTGAATTAAAAATTTCAGCAATTAAAGACAGAAGTGCCTTGCAAAATGTAAAAATATTAAAAACATTTAGCATGGAAAATTAAAATCAATCTTGTATCATGTTAGTCATCAGGATATCTTCGGGCGTAAATGGGTCTAGTTGAGCTTGAGTAACACTTAACTTTAATATGATTACTTAATCAAACTCAACCTTAATTCTAAGTTCTCACTCTCTAATGAAGAGACCTACGATGTTAGACACACTCCATGGAAAAATAATTCCATACAGACACCATATGCAGAAATGCATACGGTCTGATCTTTACCGTTTATCACAACAAAAATATATTTTGATGAGCCTTATTTTAAATTTTTTTTAAATAAACAATGTAGATCAAACACCGTATGAAATAATTTTTTCCACTCCATGGACCCAACAAATGTCTGATTTATATAATATCTAAAATAATATGTTGCTTTTTTTAAGCAAATTAAATATTAAAAAAATAAAAAAATAAAAAAATAAAAAAATATATGATTATATTTTATAATTAAAATAAAAAGAAATTTATTTTTTTATTAAAAAATGAAACTTATATAGATCTATCTTGTCATTCATAATTTTTTTGTTTTTTGAAAATTAATGTTATTAAATTTTTTGATATTATTTATAGTGTTTTATTAATTTATTTTTTAGAAAAAGAAAGGTGGTAATTTGACTTGTATTCAACTCATTAAAGATATATACTAAAACTTTTACTCATGAATCAACTTGACAGTTGACTCAGTTGCACACTTGAGGACATCCATATCACATAAGAATTACATATCTAATATTAGAATTTGATATTTATTTATAAAACATTTTAAATTCTCAATTACATCAAAACATAATTAAATTATGCATTTCACTCTAGTAATGATATTTCTTTCTGATTTCAAAAGTCTCGGGCTGTTGTATAAATAAAAGATCAAAATGTAGATATTTACATAAATATAAAAGAATTGTCGGACATGTATGTAAATCTCCCAAATCAGAATGCTTCAAAATTACGTTCAACAGATCATCACTGGAGAATCCAAATTATAATGGGAAGTACTGGTAAATGCAATAATGAACTTACTAACATAAAAGGTCAACACATACAATCCAATAAAACAAAAGAAATTATTTAAATAAAAGAGATTGCCAGACTGAATAGGGAATATAAACATCAACGTGTGGATCACGAATTTGCATCATAAACAACAATCAAGCAGAGTCAATCTTCTGACTTCAATCAATCCAACAAATATGAATCGGTAAAAATGAAAAAAATCTCGGATTTTAATATTGAATGGGTTAACATAATCAATGTTTGGTTTGTTTAGAAGAAAGTCGATGTGAAAGAAATGCAGTGTTATTTGGTTTGGTGTTAAAGTACATACATGCATATATTTGGTTCAAAGAAAAAATAAAATCAACTTAGAATATGCGCGGCAATAGTGGTTGCGGCGGCGCCTGCAGTTGGCAGTGGGTGGCCGCAACAGATAGCTGGAGGCAGAGATGGAGGGTGGACGGTAGTGGAAGCGGTGAGGAAGATGGGCAGCTGGCGACAACGGCAGCGGGCGGCTATCTACTATGAAAAAATATTGTTTTCGGAGTCTGGACGCACAGCTGCGTCCGAACAACGGATGTGATACAGGGCGGAGCGGGAGCTCGAACCTCCACTGTATCACGTCTGTTGTCCCGACGCAGCTCGCGTGCTGCGTCCGGACTCTGGACGCAATATTTTCTCATCTACCTTAGCGTTGGCAAGGGGGAGGTGGAAATGGCAGCTGGTGGTGATAAACATGCTACAGTTTGCAATGCATTTGGAAATCACCCAAATCTAATAAATTCTGAATATATCATTTTTGAATTGAGAGGTTAATTCCAAAGTTACTAAAATTTTACATAGCATTCTGTTTTCATTCAATCAAACACCGAAATTTTGAGAAATCATACATTTCATTTACTTTATACCACTAAAACAGGGAGAGAAACAGTCCCTATTATTTAAGCTACTGTTCTATATAACTGTGAGAAAATTAACATAACTTGTTGAGAAAATAATGACGCTGGCATTATAGATATTTAAGCTACTGTTATATATACAGAAGTTGAAAAGCATGGAGTGAAACAAGAATAACAAACAAAGCTGAGTTTAATACCTGAGTCGGATCCGTGGAATATGCTCGATGTCAATCAAGTGTGTAATAAAAGAATTGAGAATTTCAGGTCAAAATAAATGTCTGATTCTATCTGAAAACAAGGCTTGCATTTTGCTGTTGTCTCAAGATTTCAATCATGTAAAGATAGAAAGATTTCAAAGCCTTGACATCGTTTCCCTGTTTAGAAGGATCACACATGGCAGGAAGGATTAGTTTTTGCCTCATCTGATGCACTCTGGTGACATTTAACGTTGATAAACAAAAATCTTCTAAAAAATCGCAAAATTTTTCATTTTCTGCCTTTTCTGATGCAATTACACATTTGTTAATTGATTTTATGTATCCCATTCTAGAGGAGTATGACTGTATGAAATCATTTATTTGATGAAATTTATGAAGAGAAAAGGCACAACTCTCCCATTTCATTCTAGGAAGATTTACATACATACCACTCATGTCCTATGCATTGACATATCTAACACCTAAACTTCAATTTTTACATACCTATGCATGAAAAGGATGTATACCACATTTTAAAAGTTAAAATAGTGGTAGATTTGATATGATATAAAAGATATGGGTGATATAAATGTTAAAAACAAAGTTTAGGTGTTAGATATGTAAATTCAAAGAAATTGGAAGGTATGTATGTAAATGCCCCTTCATTCTAAGTGCTTTCCACCTAATTTTAGATCATCAGGGTTCTTTGAGCAAAATGTCTTCTTTAATAGTAGTATAATTCATTACTTGATATGTGTGATGTAATTTCAGAGGATACCAAACTTAACAAGTAGAAAAAACTTCAAAGCAAAGAAGACATAAACCTGCACATTTGCATAGTACTGTTCTGCTAAATCATGCGGACAATGAGCTGTCAAGAGGCCTTTTGAGACAAAATGAACAAGGAAGTCATCACCAAGCTTCTCATACATGACCTTCTGAGCCAATACAATTTCCCCAAGAAGAACAAGCTGGGCAAATAAGAGTATATTTTCAATGAAAGGCTCTTACGAAAAGCATAATAATTAAATAATGTAAATAAATAAGTAATTAAATTTTCTCCCTATTTTCATTTCAAGGTCAAATGACCCAAAGCACAATAATGGATACATTGTATTGAGATCAAGCGTCCATTTTATCCTACTAAATGCGTAAGCTTATTTATGGCTTGAAAATCTCATAGTGAAACAAAATGCATTCAATCATTAATGTTCCAAGTATTTTATTGAAAAGAATAAGGGATAATTGTATCCATAGCACTGGAAACATTGCTATTTACAAAAACTAGCACCTAAGTGATTTTTTAAACTACGGAACTGATGCATTTATGCGTCGCATGATCAAATCATTAGAATTTTGATAAAAAAGCAAAACATGGGTTGTTTATTGACATTTGAGTGAACATTTGAAAAATGGATGAAAGAGTTATTTGCTTTGTAAATAGTAATATTTTGAGTGGTATGTATGTAATTGCTCCAAAGAATGAATAAATGTGGGAATTAATACCTAAACAGCGAACAATGAGATCTTAAGGATTTAACCAAACAAGTTATATCACATATTAGCAGTTTTAGATGTCAAAAAGAAATAATTTTTGATACAAAGCATCAACTGGACAGAATCCTAGTAGCATGTTAAATGGAGAATGATGATGGTAAATTTTTCTTGATGCAGAGCCTTGTCAATAAAGATTCCAAGGGACAACGAGCACAAGAGAGTCATTCTAAATTAAAAACTGTAAACAATAAATGAAAATATTACATGTTAGCTATTCATGCAAAGGCAACTCAGTAATTCTTGAGAAGACTACAAAATTTGTCACTTCATACTTTATTCCAACAACAAATATCACGCATCCAACCAAGACCTTCAGCACAGCTGAGAACCAACCACCAATATCCTATGTAGGATGATTTAATGATTACAAAGCATTTTTGTTCAAACTAGCATCTTTATGTTATTTCATCTCTTCACACGCTAAATGCAAAAAATATTTATTTAAAATATTAGTCATCAATCACAAAATGACATAATTTTATATAATAAAAATGAAAAGTGTTCTTAAGAAAAAGTTAAATTTCTCACACATGAGAAGTAACAAATTGTCTGAGACAAAAGTTTAAAAATTCAAGAGAAAAGGACAGTCATTCTTACAGTATTTGCATCATGGAACTCAAGCGACTTGTCCAAAACACTGTACAGGCAGCAATTAGTTGCAAATTTCTCAATAATGAAGTTTCCAAAGCCAGGAACCTGGACAGGATTGATTTCATAGATTAGTTGACACGCTATTTCTGCAAGTAGATGTCTCAAAAGATAAGAACCCAAGATAAATTACATTGGAATATTTACAAACATACCACTCAATTCTTATGTATTTACACATCTAACACCTAAACTTCAATTTTTACATATATGTCATCTTCCATATGCATGAAAAGATGTATGCCACTTCTTAAAGTTAAAATAGTAGTGTTATTGACGTGATATAAAATATTTGTGTGGTCTAAATTTTAAAAAGCAAAGTTTAGATGTTAGATATGTAAATAAATAGGAAATAGGTGGTATGCATGTAAATGCCCCAATAACAATCTACATGTTAACAACATAGGAAGAAAAACATGTAACCTCTAATTGCCAGCATGTCTACAAAAATCCATGTATCATGCATTTTATCAGTGCAGTCTTATGTCATACGAGTGACGATGTCAATTTAACATCCAAGGTATGAAGCATGAACATTCCCCAACAACTATAGCCACGATGGAACAAAAGAACCCTGAAAACAACTTTACACCAAGACAGATATTGACGTGGGAGCCTGCTACGATCCCGGGTTCAGCGTACCGTGATCCCGGTCGTGGTAATTCCACGAACAGCCAAATCTGGGCTTTAATAATTGCAGGTTTAGACAGGAGGAGGGGTGCGCCAACTTCCAAATTTGAGCATATCTTTTATTCCTTTTTTATTTCTTTCAAATTTCCTATTTCTCTATTTCTAATTAAGCTTTTCGTGAGGAAACTATTTATATGTTGCTATTTTGCTGGTTTAAAGACTTCTGCTGTTTTGAGTTTATGGAGATTGTAATCCCCGCCATGGTGTACTTTTCATGCAGGTTAACTAGAAGCCTAAAGTGTCTTATAAACCATCGTTTAAAATATATTTTTGTTCTCAGGCCATAGTGTCTCACCATATTGACCAATACAACTTATAAACAGTTGGACAGGTCGGGCACCCGCGATTCAACCTCCTAAAGCGATGAAGACGCTAAGAGGTTGTCAAAATTCCAACTTAAAATATGGATTTTTTGAAATTACAAAAATTGATTCAAAATTGAACAATTTGTGATTATTTGGACTTGCAAAAAATGATTTAAATCCTGGATTATCTGGACATGTAAATTTTGAATTTACACAGACTTTAAATACGAAATACATAAATTGGGGCTAAATTCAAGCAAATAATTATCGTTTCTAAATGCTAGACGGTGACTTAATATGCACTTTCAACACAATCTACTTACTAGCGAACTGAAGGCGGTAAAATGCTCAAATGAAGCTTTGTGTGGAGTACAAATCATAACATTCACACAAACTTTCAAAAATATTCTCATTGACTTGATAACTTGATGAACTCGTTGCCGAATATGCTAGTCCAATTCACAAGCAGAAGTGGTCTTTTGAAACAGTCAAAATATGATTTTTTGCATGTCATTAAGTTAAGGTTAACACAAACTGTCAAAGTTATAGAATGATTTTGCCACCAACTTTGCAATGTATGTGCAAGAGAACAAGAGGTGTTAATTGTGATTCAATGATATAATATCCACAAAATTTTATCATTAAATGTTCCTAAAATTGACATAAATTTCATGGCTATTATAAACTCAAACAATATGCCACAAATTTTATGTAAATCTTTTAAGATTCATACAAAGAACATAACACACTGTTAAGGCTTATGTGAGCATCAGAAAGAATCCTAAAATGCTTTATGAATATACGCAAATTAAATATGCAGATGCATCAAATTTTCTATGGTTATATCATGACGTGAAAATATACAAGTGTGCTATATAAATGAATTAAGAAACACGGAAATTTATCATTTGAATGCTTTGAAAAATATGTGAAGTTATTTTAATAGTTCAAAGTTAATGAAATTGAAAACCCGCATGTGCTCTACCAAATTGATTAATGTTTAAATTTTAATGGTTTGAGAATGTTGAACGTTCACTCACTTGATCTAATAAACGAGCGAAATTCTTTTAAGAAAATCTATAATCATTTTAAAGTTAAGACCTCACATATTAAAAATAAATAAATTCAACATAATCAAACCATGCATGATTTCAATTGGTCCACCATATCTATAAGGCAGGGATGTAAGTTTTACTCAACAGTGAAAGGGTCCCATTCTAGTCCTGAGATCAGCATACAACGAAATTTGGGCTCCCTCAATTGCATGTTCGGATGGAGGGGAGCACCAACTTACAAAATTTAGCATATCTTTTAGTCATTTTTTATTTATTTCCTATTTCACTATTTTTTATTAGATTTTTCTATAAGATAACTATTTATATGTTGTTATTTTATTGGTTTAGAGATTTTTTGCTTTGTTTTGAGTTTATGGAAATTGTAATCTTTGTTTTATATTTAAGGAGTATTATATTCTCTTAGAAGTTATATTAGGAAATAATTTATTCATATTAGAATTTATGAGGATTAGATTTATTTAGTTAGAGTGAATTTATTTTCTTTCATATTTTAGATTTATTTTCTTAGATTGGGTCCTATTTTAGGCTTTTCTAATTTATGTCATTTCTTTTATCTTCAAGTAATTATGATGAATTGATTAAATGAAGATATAGATGTTATATTTTTCTTTTCATGTTATTTTCTTTTTCTTATCTTTCATATTATAAGATTCATGAAAGTGTATTTATATCCCCTTTCATATCAATAAAATAATTCCGCTTAATTCTGAAAATCAACATGATATCAGAACTTTGAAACAAATCCTAAAGTCTCCTGCCGCCGGAAACTTGCTATTCCCTACAGTTGGTAATCTTTGTTGTGTTGCATGCCCTTCCTTTGTCTCCTCTTTTCAGTTTTCCTGGTGGAAAATTTCTCTCTATAGGCCCCGCCGCTGAAATTTCCTCCTGCAACCTTTCCCGCCATCGAATTCCCTCCTGCAACCTTTGGAACTCCTTGCAGAAATTATCTGCCATAACTCCTCTGCCATGTCAGTCAAAGCTTCTGTTCATTATACGCTCTCTTGAGGGATATCTTACCACTTCTTGCTCCTCTCCACCAGTGGAGACGCTGGACCCAAATCTAGGGTTCCAATGGTAAATTGCGTTGCTGGAAGTTTGATTTGTCTGAGAAGGGAGATGTTTGGTTGGGACGAGGGTGCAATGTTCTACAACGGCTAGGCTCATTTTTTTTGTGGTGACAGCAATCCAGACCATGGCTTCCTCACCCACCACGCCTCCCTTTTCAAGTCAAGGAGTTCATTCGCGGCTTCTCGGGTAAGAAAGGTGAATTTCCCTATCGCGAGTCTTGTCCACAAGCCGGCCACCTCACTATCACCATGGAAGACGCGTTTCATGCAGAGCTGGCTGACAATATCCAAAAGCTCCCAGCCAAAAAATTGCCCTTATTGGAAACTACAGTTGCTGAGGTGTTGGCGAGTCTTCGGTTTAAAGTTGTCGACGAGATGGGAGACATTGAGGAGCTTGTCATTGGAGATGTCCAGATTTTTCTCTCATTCAAGGAGAACTCTGATTCCATGCGTTCCATTAGGGTTGCGTACATGTCAAGCTTGTGAAGATCATTGGAATCACAATCACAGCTTCTCCAGTAAAAGCCAAGGCAACTTATGTAACTCCCTTATGCAAGAACTGTATGAACATCAAATCTATGGCTTGTCGTTCTGGACTTGGGGAGCATCATTGTTCCAAGGTCCTATGATCATGTTCCCCATTGCGGTGAAGAGCCTTGCCACTGGATCCATGGATTATTTCACCTTATAATAGTAAATATGTAGATATTCAGACACTTAAGCTCCAGGAAAATCCAGAGACGTACCTACTAGAGAGCTTCCTAGAAACGTGTTTCTCTTGTTGGATCGCTGCACAATCCAATTTGTTGTTCAGGCACAAGGCTTACAGTTATCAACATTTATGGTGCGTTCCAAGCATCTGCAGCTCAAAAAGGAGATGTAGGAGTTAAACAACAATACATTAGGGTTGTTGGTATAGAACAAGCACGTGAAATGAGCTCAAATGAGTCATCCATCTTCACCTTAGATGAGGAATTGCAATTTAAAGTTTTTTTTCCTGCAACGGGTCTCCTTCGGTGTTTTTTCCTGCAGCAGACTCTGTGAAACTTCTTCCTGCAGCAAGCCCTCATCCGAAGCTCCTCCGGAGCTTTTCTCTACAGCAGGCCATTCTCCAGAGCTTTTCCCTGCAGCAAGCTATCCTCCAAAGCTTTTTACCATAGCAAGCCATCCTCCGATGCATTTTTCTTGTAGTAGACCCTCCTCCGGAGCTTTTTCCTTGCAGCAGACCCTTCTCCGGAGCTTTTTCCTACAGAAGACCCTTCTCCGGAGTTTTTTCCTACAACATGTCTTTTTTAAGAGCTTGTTCCTGCAACAAACTCTTTCAGAGCTTTTTCTACAGCAAGCCCTCTAGAACTTTTTCGTGCAGCAAGATCTCCTTCGGAGTCTTTTCCTACAGCATGGCCCTTCTCTTTTCCTGTAGCAAGCTTAACTCTAATGTTTTTCCTTTAGATTGTATACTTCCCTGTAAATTTTCATGCAGCTTTATCTGTAGGAGTCTTCGACCTGCTTACTGACACTACAGAAAGTGCAATCAAAGACAACCACAGGTAACTAAAAATATCCTAAATGCTTTTGGGGTTGATTATCAAGTACAAAATGACGACTTCAAGTTCTACCTCACAAAGAATTTTCCTCGGCCATTGTTTGATATTTTCAAATCCAAGTTGAACATGGTTGTCAACCATGTTCAACTTGAGGGGGAGTGTTAGAAGTTATTTTAGAAAAAAAAATTATTTATATTAGAAGTTATGAGGATTAGATTTATTTAGTTGGATTTGATTTATTTTCTTTCCTATTTTAGATTTATTTCTTAGATTGGATTTATTTACTGTCCTATTTTAGGCTTTCTTAATTTATGTGGTCTCCTTTATCTTTTTAAGTAATTATTATGAATTGATGAAATGAAGACATGAGTGTTATATCTTTGCTTTCAAGTTATTTCTTTTTTCTTTTCTTTTCTATTCTAAGATTCATGTAACGGTAATTGAACCTCCTTTTCATATTAATAAAATAATTCCGCTGAATTATGAAAATTAACATATGCATTTCTTTTGCAAGTGGAATGTCTGTATCTTACTCAAGAAGAGATGATGAAAGTTCCTCGCCGGCCAAAACATTGCAGATTCAAAATTCCTTTCACTATTTTCAGACGAGAAAGTCGCCGAACACCTATCCCCTTTTAAATGGCATTGACATCACATAATTTTGTTCCCCTTGTCATTCCATTACTACCTCCCTTCCAAAATACCTTCTAGGAGCTCTAGAATGGTATCGTATATGTTATCAGACATGTTATTAAAAACTTCGACATTTGTTGGACATTTCTTCGCACAAACACAAACAAATGGAGACTATAAACAAAATACAGCCAAAAGATTGATATTTACATTCATCTTCCCTCTCATTCTTCATCTCTATCACTTCATCTCATAGCTTCTCAGCAGACATTTTTGGAAGTTGTAGCAGTCTCATCCCAAATATTTTAGATAGGCACGCTTGAGTCCCACTTTTCCATTCAATTAAGTTGAGTGTTACATAAGGCGTTAACTCCAGTTTATGAAAATGAATTTCTAGTTTTTATTCCCTTAACATCAAACATAACTCCCCATCAACTTGGGGCATCTTCTACTCTCACTCATTTCATGGTGTTTAATACAAAGTTTTGGTATCACCTGTTACCCTCACATCAGTCCTCAATTTTCATCAAGATTAGAGAGCATCAAGGACATGTATATTATGAAAACAAAAACTGGTTATAATGCCAAGCATATAAAACTACTTCTAGTTAATATATAGGAAAAAAACAAAGAGAACATAACTTGAGCACTGAAACAGTCACATAAATCAATTATTTCACTATAATTTATTCATCGCCCCTCCACCAATGGAAAAAGAGAGAGTTATCTTTTAGAATGAATTTGGAACCAGAAAAAAGGGAGAACAGAGCAAACACAAAGAGAGATAGAACTCGAAAAGAAGTATACAAAGTACACTAGTATGAATTACTATGCTTCTCCAAGTCAAAGGAGGTTGATGCTGATGATGAGTCGGAGCCTTGTTTAAAGTGTTATAAAAAACTTTAGAAAAACTGTAGTTCCATGCACAAGCTAGAGTTAGTAGGTAAAAAATAGTTGGACTTTGTAACCTGTGCCTTCCACCTCATTATGCAGAATGTATCAAATGAATTTTTTAAGTGAATTTTTTAAAAATGTATTATGCAAATATAAACTTATTTAAATGGCTTTGATTTAAAAAAAAAAAGGCATGTAGACTAAAGGGCATTTGCACATCAAGTTTAATCAAATGTTCGAATATTCATAAACATTCATAAAATTATATCACCAGTTCATTGTTAGATGGTACATCATCAGTAATGATGATCATTATTGATCTTAATCTACAATGTGGGTGTATAACTTTGTTCCTAATGAACTTTATCCATGTAAAGCATAACAAATTATTCACACACACAAATAGTGATAGAACTATATCAATATAAGTTTTTTAAATAAGCACATCATCATTATTGATATTTATATGTTGTGCATGTATAACTGTGTTAGCAATGAACTTTTTCTATGAGAGATGATGTTAACAAGCGGATAAAATTATATTAACTGTTTGTGAAGAGAATAAACATTTCCTTGCCAAAAGGATGAAAAACTTTCCTTCACACATAATGGGCGTGCACATGCATACCCATACAAAACAGCTAAATATCAATATGTGAATGTGTGTGTGTGTGTGTGTGTGTGTGTCTGTGTGCGTGCGCGCGTGCGCGCATTTATTCTTGTGTCTCTTTACTTCCTACCAGTATGCATAAAGGTTGCCTCGTATGTGAATGTGTGTGTGTGTGTGTGTGTGTGTGTGTGCGCGCGCGCGCGCGTGCGTGCGTGGGTGCGCGCGCGCGTGCGTGCGTGCGCGCATTTATTCTTGTGTCTCTTTACTTCCTACCAGTATGCATAAAGGTTGCCTCGTATATCTGTTTCAGCACCTATTACTCTATACATGCCACATAGCAGCTATGGGAGCAAAATATCAGAAAAAGTACCTTTTCTTCATCGCTATACTTGCTGCACCAGTCTTTAATAAGTTTGATAAAAATCTGCACACAAATCTGGAAGATAGGAAAAATTAAGTATCATTTCATCCTTTCTTTTTTTTTGCAAAGTTCTGCTTATCTGATAAAACTTTCATGAAGAATACATGCAATAGATCATTGATCCGCATTTACATGCATACCTTCCTCACAACAACGTCTTTATAGCTGCAAGATGTTAACAACAGTAGCTGCATTATAGCATCCAAAAAATTCCTACTATTTGGGACAAGGAAAACGGAAGAGAGATCGTGAGCCGTCAGAACATGCAAGAATGTGTACAACATTCGTTGAAGCTCTTGCAATTCGCGTATTTCCTACATGAAGGAAAATGAGGATTATGTCACAAACAGTTCACTAACTCTTCTTTTTCTCAAGCATCCAAGATCTAATATAAATTGTAATATTTTTGACAGTTACGGTGGGTACCGCAATTTAAAATAACACGACTTGATGATTTTTATACCCACACGTCTTCCTCCAAATAAATTGTAAATATTATGAAATGCTTAAAATGTGAGCAGAGCGACCTGCATCGGACTGGAATGCAAGCCGCGCGACTCCCACAAGCGCCGAAGACAGGGAGAAAGGCTGATCAATCACGAATTTCGTTTTTTTGTTTTTTATTCCCTATTATCCTTCTTTCCTTTTTTTAGTATTTACCTAGATTTTCATTTTTTGTTTTTTTCCCTATTATCCTTCTTTCCTTTTTTTTAGTATTTTTCTATATATGTGTTGTATTAGGGTTTGAATATTAGTTTTTTATATTTTTTGTTTAGAATAGCCGCCGATGTCCATTTTTGTCTCTTCAAAGGGATAACCCGATTGTATCTCTCTCAGGTGGTGATTATCTTTCTTCTCTCCTTCCGCATCTTCCCCATGATGCTGCAGCCGCCCTCGAACAACACCCATTTGTTGTTCTTCACTGTAGTTTCCAATTCCATTCCTTGCTCTCTGCCATCACCCTAGACAACCTCCCCTTGTTGTCCTGCAATCGACAACCCTCCCACTTCACTGCCCCTCACCGTCCCAATCCTCCGCTTCACTGCCAACGCAATTTCAACCCATCCTTTTGTTGTCCCGACCACCCACAACCAATTTAAGCCACCTACCTCCACTCCCCAATCACCTAGCCGATCAGCATGCCCATGGATGAAGCCCTAGTGTGAGTTTGAGTCATGTTTTTTGTAATTTCTCTTTCAAGTTTGTTTGATGGTAACATCTTATTTGCTTTCAGTAATAATATTTGATTTTTCTAGTAGTTTGGCTGAACTCCAACATCATTTTATATCAGTGTTAGCCTAACCCTAATCTTATCCAACGATTTCTAGCATCCCCTCATATCGCCTCCAAAATTTTTCTCTCCACCCTACACAACTCCTTCCACCTACCTACACAGAAAACCCTAACCACACCCCTAAGAAGACAATTGTCGGATTTTGATCAAGAACCCACCATGGACAACAAACAATAGCTACTCCGCCAAGTGCTACATCGGCTCGATGCCATTAAGGAAAAAACCCAGGGCAGGATCATCGTCAACCATAATAATGAAATACGTGAAAGAGAGTAAATAAAACACATGAATCCCTTTCGTATGGATGATTCCAGTGGAGAATAAGAAAGATCCCAATATCAGTGGAGGCCTAGAGCTGTCTATTGGAAGATACAAAGATGAGGTGCCTACTAGAGGATACAGAGATGAGGTGCCTACTGGAGGATACAGAGATGAGATATATCACCGTCGATCGTAATAGTTAAATCTATGAATGAGAAAAAATAAAACACATGAATCCCTTTTGTAGGGATGATTCCAATAGAGAAGAAAGAGCAGACAAACCGCAATGCTTTGGAGTACAGTAACAACAGAGGTGTAGAGTTAAAGTGCCTATTGGAAGATACAGAGATGAGGTAATTGCTGGAGGATACAGAATTGAGACGCCTGCTAAAAGATATAGAGATGATGTGCCTATTGGAAGATACTGAGATCTGGGAATGAAGGTGGACCTACTGAACTTCGAGGGGAGAATGGCTCCAAATGATTTCGTCGGGTGCATGGAGACGGTTGAGTAGATATTTAAATACAAGGACGTGTCCGATGACAGAAGAATGAAACTTTCCGCCATTAAGCTGAAGATACTGCTCCTTTGAGGTGAGAGAACCTAAAAAGAGAGAGAGAAGCAGAAAGGGAGGGACAAAAGCACTTTTTCGAAGAAGATGAAACGGGTGATACAACGACGATACCCACCCACACATTACCACCAGAACATTTTCTTGAAGCTTCATTATCTGTAACAGAAAGAGTACACGATAGAATTTATGCAGCTCAAGTTGAAGTGTGAGTCGAGGGAGACAAAGGAGGAAACCGTAGCCAGGTACTTGGGAAGCCTATTGGGCACTGATAGATCTGCAAACTTTAGCACTGAAATGAAGAGATAATAGAAGAAAAGTAGACAACCACCGCCAGCCAGACAATCACCCACGGTTGGAGACCTCAGGAGGCCAAACCTCAAAGAGTGGAGCAGACTGGTCCAGAGCACGACAGAGCCACTCAAGCGAGAAGCCTGAGATGAGTCACCCACTACAATCCCAACCAGAAAATGCATTAGGTGTCATGGCTTTTAGTTGCCCAACGAGTCGAGTTGTGACTTTCACCGAGAAGGGGGCAGTCGAGGAAGTTAGCAATGAGGAAGCAACTAAAGAAAGGGTGAGAAGTATCAGCTTCCACAAAATAAGGGTTAGATGCTTGTGGTTCGACGAATCCTTCAGATTGAGGCATCAAGGGAGCAATAATGGTTTGATCATAATATATTTTATACTCATTACACCGTGAAGGGAAATGTATCCAACATCATCATCGATGGAGATAACGGCAGGAATGTGACGTCAACACAGGTGGTGGACAAATTGAGCATCACGACCGAAAGACATCCCCAGTCATATTCCCTGACATGGTTGAAGAAGGTGAGCAAGATCAGCATTGGCAGAAAGTGTTTCTTAGAGTTTTTGAATGGGAGACAGTTGCAGGATTAGGTTTGGTACGATGCGGTGCCCGTAGATGTCTGCCACCTTTTATTGGGGAGATCATGACAATATCATTGGAAGACTCAACATGATGGGTACATGAACACCTATTCATTCACCAAAGATGGCAAACACATAGACCTTCTACCCTTCGCGGAGTCTGAAATTACAGGTGCCCTTGCTGCAAAGAAGCACCATAGGATCAATCCTAGTGATGACATAAGACTGCGAGAGAGAAATGTAGGTAGCAGACACAAGACAACCAATATAGAGAGAGTTTCAGGGCATCTTGTTTGCCAGCTTACCACCCTGGCCACCACCATTTTGGGAGATTTAGATTGTCCTCACCTCGGATTAAGTTGAATCAACCTTGGGTTGTTTTTGGAGAATTCATCAGTATATACATGGCTCGCAAACTCAGTTCAGTTGTGAGATCTCAGAAGATTGAACTGACATAGATTGTTGCTCGCAAATGGGGAAAGTTCCTCAAGTATTTTGGGAGACAGTGCAGTCGTGAGTGGGATCATCAGCTTTTAGGGTTGTAGTCGAAAAGCTTTTAGTATCAAGAGGTTATAATAGCTCCATCACCAGTAATTAGTTGACAGAAGTTTCAATGAATGAGATCAAATCTTCCCCAACCCCGGTAGATTAACGAGGGAGCTACCTGCATTGAACGAGGATGCGAGCAAAACTCCCACGAGCGTGCGAGAAAACGAGAGCCGATCAATCTCTACTTTAATTTTTTGTTCTCTCTTTTCTCTTATCCTTCATTCTATTTTAAGTGTTTTCCTATATGTGTTTTATTAAGGTTTGAAAGTTAGTTTTCGCTATGTTTTGTTTAGGAAAGTCGTCAGTGTCCATTTTTCTTCCTTGGAGGGTTGTATCTGAGAGATTGGGTGATGCTTCAGCTTTATCTCTCTCCCGAGGAGGTGATTATCTTCCCTATCCCCTTCCGCATTTTTCCCATGACGCTCCCGTCTGCCCTCCACCATTGCAGCAATCCCCCCTCCCAAATAACACTCGTTTGTTATTTTTCACTACAATTTTCCAGCTCCATTCCTTCTTGCTCGCTGTCACCGCACCGAATAGCCGCCTATTGTTGTCTAGTAGTTCACAGCCCTCCCGCTTCGCTGCCCCTCGCTGTCCTAGCCCTTTGCTTCACAATCAATGCAATTTCAGCCCCTCTTTTTGCTGTCCCAAGAACCCACAACCCATTTCAGCCACCTACCTCCGCTCCCTAACCAACTAGCCAACCTCCACCACCCATGGATCGAGCCCTAGTGTGAGTTTGTATCGTGTTTGTTGTAATTTCTCTTTCAAATGCATTTGATTATAGCCGTCTATTTGCATTCAGTAGTAATATTTGCTCTTCCTATTGTGATTTGGGTGAACTCCAGTATCACCCCTGTTTTGAAGATCAAAGGAAATATCAATCAAAATCTTTTTTCTCTAATTGAGAACAAGCATGCACCTACAAGGGAAAATATAATCAAAGTGGAGTGAATAGGAAAAACATTAAAACAAGGTCAAAAGATAATAACTTAGAAGTGTGCAATAACGACTCGCAAAAATTGGAGTTAACACCAATGCAACACCAGCATGAATAATGAAGAATTTTAAAGTTGGCCCTGAACAATCAGGATAAGGCCTATATGACCATTTCATTTTCCAATTTCCCACACCAACATCTCATATTTTAGATATTTTAGAAGCTGAGAAATTATTATAAAAAGATACATTCAAATTATTTCAGCAATTTGAACCTGGCAAAAAAAGGAGGAGGTGCTCTCACCATAAACTTAATTCGTATACTTTTCCCTAGCTCTCTTATAGCATGGTATTGAACTAAAACATGGAATACAAGTGCACTTTAACAGAAAAATATAACACAAATGACTATTATCTGTTACTTTAACATCACTTTGCATGAATAAAGGAAATGGAATGGATTTATGAACTATTTCCTCAAGCTATTTTAAAAACTAGTAGCTTCGCAAATGCTAATTTGCAAAACTAAAAGATATTTATTCTCATCCAGGCTTTCTATAATAATGAGGTATCATTTACATATTAAATGACATGAAATTTTGATGCTTAACATCCAGGTCTTGTGGCCTAAGGTATTAACATTCCAAACTCGGATTAAAAGAAAATTTCACATGGCATATCTATAAAATATATCAAAAGGCATCAATAAAGAACAATAAAATCTCAAAACCAAAGCTTTCTCTTCTGCCTATCAAATTTAAAGTAAAAGGTAATACATACCTCAGTATTGCACTCAGAACCAAAAGAAAATCCCTCATTTGAAAGAAAACCAAATAATCTGCTTGCTAATATAGGGAATATTTCTTCTAATATGCTCTCAACAGAGTTACCAAATTTGCATATCACTTGATTGATTAGCAAAAGCAAGTCCACAATATCATTTGGCTGCAATAATCAAGAGTGTTTTGTCAAAAAGAGAAAACAAAGATTCAGACAAAAGATAATGAATACTTCACAGATTAGTAAGCTTATTTATGTCATAATACATGATGATTTCAAAATAAATGTAAATTTAAGTCCAATTCTTAAAGTTAAGTTCTTGCCACAGTATTAAAACATAGAAACTCAACTCTTGATTCACCGTGAAATATGTGGAGTTGATTCCAGAATAATTCTTGGCTCTTCCTTTTTCATGTGAATTAAGGACAAGTTACAAACCAAAATTCTATTTCAATAAGGCTCCAGTATAATTTTATTTTCCGGGGTGTCATAATACACGTTAGGAAACCTTGGCTTGATTTTGAAAAAGAAGCGTATAGATGTAGGGTTTTCTAGAGTTGGAAAACTTAGGGTTTCCATATGGAGGAAGCAATGGACTTCTACAATTTGGAAATGATAGAGAAATGTTTTAAAGTATTGATCTGAAGTTTGGAGGAAATTTTCAAGGATTTTAGGAAAGACAAGTGGAAGCAAACTTAAATTAGGTTACAAAACAAGTAAATTTTTTCCCTTTTTTTCAAAGGAGGAGATAGGGTCGGCCGTGGCAAGTTAGAAGGAATGTAGGAGAAGCCTAGGATTAAATTTAAACAAAACCCATAGATGAAATAAGTTGCAAAATCAAAAATCCCTCAGCAAAGTATCTATCCACCACCACGCTCCATCATGTGGAATTGTGTTAGACTGGTACCGACGACTTCTATCGCCTCATGCTCCATAGAGTCAGCGTCGAGCCCGCCAAATAATTTTAAGACCTATGCTAGGCGCAAGAATAGAAGGACAATTTAATCATTTGTTAGATATATTGTAGGATATAAATATGGCTTAATATGTTAAGGCATATGTCATACATGATTATTGTATTGAATCTTAGGATTATGATTTTTGAGAGAATTACATACCTCTCGAATTGTAGGTTTATCCCTTATGTATTTGAGTTGTGTTGTTTTGTGTTGGTAAAGTAAAATATTTTATTTGCCCCATTCTGTGAAAGCTCGTTACTTTCCTATCAAATTAGAGCATTTGAGGTCGTTGCTCCGCTAGAAATCTTTCTAGTTTGCATTTGAGGTTGTTGGTCCGCCTCATATCATTCTAAAATCATCTAGGTACCCTCCCCATCACAGCGACTGTCTCGCCTTCATCAATGAAGATCGCAATACAATAGCAATTCGAGCTAGATGGGAAGCCAACAACAAGATTGTGGCGTTGCCTTCTTGACCAAACATTGTGAAACAGTTGTGATTTGTGCAAGTTGGGAAGCCAGAGCCGTGATCGCGACATATAGTAGTTTCATCTTCGAGATTAAAAATAGTTTTGGGAGTAATGACGATCAAGAAAGCAGATGCTTTGGAGGAGAAATTAGCGGGAGAGGTAAAATCTTGAATGCAAAAGAGTTTCTTGCCCATGGAGAGGTGGTTCTCGTCTTTGGATTGGAGATACACAACTCTGGAAAAAATGATGATGAAGATCGCGAAATACCACGCAAAACCCGCCACCGCCTGCTATGGGATCGAATGACGACGTCTAGAGAAGATGCGAGCGACAGGAATCAAAAGGAATCAAGTGGCATCAGGGCAACATCGTTGCCTTTGGTGGATCTAATGCCGCTAGATCGAGTGAAGAAATTGAGAACGAATTCAAGCGACAACATCTGGAGGGAATCGCACAACATCTGGAGGTTTGAAATGAGTAGTAATAGAAGGAACATGTCGATGTGCGATTTGGGGTTGAAAAAGATGATATGATAGATTTCGGCCTAGAACAGTGAGTTAGGGTAGGTAGGACCTTGGACAAGGGTTGCATACAACCACACTAGCGCCTTTGTTGTGGAAGCCTTCCAAGCAGAAGGTGATTCATTAGCCTGCCTATGGGGACAGACGAGTTGATCATAGGGAGAGCCTGACTTATGGAAGAAAAGAATTAAATATGAGTCGAGGAAGGGAACTCAACACCCACTTCAAAGGTGGAATGAATTTTGGCCCAAAAAAATTGGAAAGGAGACTCGGGCACAAGGAAGCTGAAGATGTCAATCATTGAAGGAGATGATGCATTTGATTTGATTTATTGCGTTGAGAGATACTTTGTTATTACTAAGGTAACGGAGGAAGAAATTGATGGTGGTGGCCCTGTGACTAGAAGGGAAGGGTCTAATGTTGTATTAATGAAGAGAACAACGTCAGCTAATTATAGCATGAGAAGAATTCAATGACCAATTATTGGAGCATTTTAGAACTGCATGGGACGGGGATTTACGCGAGCAAATTTTTTCATTTATCCAGGAATGATCTGTCATAGAACAGTTGGAAGGAAACTTTATAAAAGAGTTGAAACCAGAGATTTGAGCAGCACTTGTCTATTGAGACCTCAAGGATTGGGGGAAACTATAGAATTAATGCAATTGATTGAAAATAAAAATGCATGAAACGTGTTAATATGAGTAGAACAGTTGGAGCTCCATATCAAAATGTTACAACCATGATAGTATCAAAAAATCTAATTTTGAAATTCTAAAAAGACGCTCCACAGGACAGGAATAATTGAGTGCGATAATTACGGGCCTTCAAACGTCTTACAAAGACAGATTCAAAAGAAGCAAATCAAGGGGTTATGTTTTTGGTTTGAAGAGAAGTTTCTCTCGGGACACCTTTGCAAGGATCAATCATTGTATGTTCTCATTGTGCGTGTAAGGATGAGGTAGGGGATGAAAAAACAAAGAAGGTTTTGGTGGAGGGGAGAAACACCCTCGCTTAGATATAACAAAAGTCTCCTTGAACTCAGTGATGACGTTCACACCGAACCACACCATGAAATTTTGGAAGCAAATCAGAGAGCGGGATTTAATAGTATTGATAGATAGTGGAGCCACCCATAACTTCATCTTCATTAAAGTAGTGGAGCAATTGAGACTTAAGATGGTCACATGAAACTAAGGAGTAATGATTGCAATGGGACAGGAGAAGAAAAGTAGGGGGGTTGTACGGGGCTAATTTTGACATTGCAAAATATTCTTAATTGGTGGAGCACTGATGTTATATTGGTTATGAAATAGTTGTAGCTCTTAAAGAAGATTAAGATGAATTGGAAACTCTTAACAATAGAATTTTTGGATAGAAACAAGACAATAGTTTTCACGGTGACCCCAATTTGTGAAAGGCTTTGGTCACGCTCAAAACCATGGTTAGGGTTAAGATTCTTGATTGAGTTGCATAGTATGGAAGAGACACGTGCAATGGAAGTGGTAGAGATTACACTACCGATCTAACAACTTTTACAATAGTTTGTAGAAGTTTTTAGTTGTCATTCGGATTGCCTCCTCGGAGGGAACATGAGCATGTGATAACCCAGAGGCCATGGGTTTCCTCATCAGTGTGAGCTTATACCGCTACTCCCGGATGCAGAAAGATGAAATTGTGAGATTGATCCGAGCGATGCTGGCGGAATTTAAAGGATCCCCATGCTATTTTAGTCCTTATGAGATCACTGAGAGCATTAGGGCAATGGCTTATCGTTTAAAATTTCCGCATTTGTTAACACTCCATCCAGTGTTTCATGTATTGCAATTAAGACATGCTACTAGTGATAATATGACATTTTCTTCACTTCATCCTACTTTGACGGAGGATATGACAGTTCTTTTGGAGTCACTTGAGTTAAAAGGGATGCTTCAAGGATCAATAGGTGGGAAAGCTCTGATTAAATGGAAATAATTGCTAGATTGTGGCGTCCTGTGGAAGCCAAACGACTTCATCTAGCAATCATTCATCTCTTCAACATTGAGAACAATGTGTCTTTTAGAAGATGAGTGATATCATATTGGCGCCTACGATGGCGACCGCCTTATGATCCACTTATTCAATGTCAAACCCGCCAAATAATTTGGAGACCCATGTTAGGTGCAAGACTAGAAGGGTAATTAGTCCGTTGTTAGTTATCATTGTGGGGTATAAATAGGGATACCTCATATATGATTATTGTCTTTAATCTTAGGGTTAGGGTTTGGGAGAGAATTACCTACCTCTCGAATTTGTCCTAATCTATGTGGAAGCTCGTCTCTTTTCTATCAAATTGTTATGCCAAGCACTCCAAATTTTATTCAAGCTTGTATTAAAAGGTTTTATTACAGCCATAACAATGTTTTAAATAAGTTATTGCATTAGTCGACCTTTTAAATTCAAATTTCCTTAAAGGAGGGAGTTGGTTCCATGTCTCAAGGGAAATTGAGGTGGCGATATGGAAATAGAAGTTCAACCGCTTGTTTCAACGAGAGTGTTGTAAGATGGTTGCTTATTTAACAATTTTCATTCATGGCCTCCCCTTTAACATTCCCTCAACTTCCTTGAACTAATGAAATTAAGTCGCAAAGCTTCACTATCTCTTTGCAAGTTAAACTACCAAGGTATACCCGACCAACTCCAATCAGGCCTTTGCAGGTTCTCTTCATCCCAACTTGACATTTTGTTTGATATATTATGCTTGTAACCCCTTGATGCACGGAATATGAATCTCCACATCCTTGTATAATTCCTAACTTTGAAAAAAATATAAACACACAACAAATACCCTATGCAACACATTTCTTGTTACAACATACACATGCACAACTATTTAAAAGAAAGGATTGTTAATTATTTTTCTACCATACACCAAGTAATAAACCTATGATGCCCAACATAAATTCAAGAGTTGGAGGCGGGAGCTAGACAGGTGGGGGTTGATGCTTGCCTAATAGAAAACGTATCATTAAGTAAACTAATGAAACTCGAAACATTTAGTAGTTCCTATGTCACAAATGAAAAAATCATGCATTGATGTTATACTTATAAATAAATATAGTCGATATTTTCACTTTTCAAAAGTAAAGCTCTCTCTCCCACTCCCTACCTACTACCCCAAAAAAAAGATACAAAAAAAGTAATAAATACAAATTTCAACATAAAAAATGTCTATAAATTTTGATAACTACAATACCTTAATCATGTTGTGATACAAGGACTTCCACATATGAAGCAAAGATTGGATTTTGCATAAAAAATTTTCATTAAAGAAAAGTAAAGGAACAAATAAGATAATAGAGATAAAAAGAGAAAGAAAGACTTGGACGATATGATGATCATAGTGACGAGTGAAGCAAAAAGAATACAAAGTGATGCCCATCATTTTTCAAAATCATTGTGAACTTCGCAAGGGATAAAGAAACGTGTTTTCAGAGGATGCGGCCATGGCGTTTGTCTATCTTAATCTCCATTCTCTTATCAAGCCAAAATAAAAGAAACACTAAGATTAGTTGAAAGAGAGGGAGTTGAATCAATCAAAATATAAATTCAATGGCAAGGAGAAATCACAATTATTTCCACTACTTCATCCTAAAAAAGTATATCCCCAATTCTCAAAAACTAGTGTGCTTGGTTCCATGATGGAAGATAGTTGGGAACAAAAATGAAGAAAAACAAAAAGAGCATTTTTCTTGCAAAATAAAATTAAGGAAATATGGGAAAATGGATTATAAAGAGGATTTTATGCCACTCTTAGATTGAATCTGAAGCCAAGAAAAAAAAAAGATCCACAAAAAAATGCTACCTTAACTAAGCACAAGAAACAAAAAATTTTACCCGCACACTGCTTACTATTACAATTGCATGATCGGGATGCATTGCACTATACAACCCTAGCTACTAATCCCACGTCCGCACCACCCATCCAATTGCTGGTCTTATAATAGGAAAAAACAAAAACATAATGAGGTTTCTCCTCTTAGGAACAAAGAAGTTTATATTTAGTAGTCTTCATATTAAAAATGAAACAGAATAGTGAGATCTCATGATATTTTTCTTGTATTCAAAAGAACCATGGTTGCTAAATTTAGACATTCACATTAAATGACTAAAAATTTTGTTAGGGTGAAATATAAATCTCCGCGTCCAACACTAAAATATTCCAAGCCTATTTCCATTCTACTTATACTCTATCTTATCGATTTCTTTATTAAATTATTAGGCTAGCATTAATTTTAGAATATTATTTTTCTTACTTCCATTCTCTTTTAATCTACTTACGTTTAGAATCTTGTTTTTCTATCAATTATATAATTAAATTGGAATATAATGCATACTTTCATTTAGTATATTAAAAATCATTACTTCTCTCATTTTTTCCTCATTTTGTATCCATTAGTATCCACCCTTTCTACCTAATTTGATAGTATTTCCTTGGCTATAATATTTTATATTTCATATATCATAATTTAATTTGTGTAAGAAAATATACAATGAAAAGAGCTATCACCTCCAGAACTTCACGATCATGATGATACAACTACAAATAACTGGTCCATCTTTATGAGAGATCATTTTTTTCTTTTTCATATTTATTAGTGCAATATGATAACAGATTGCTAGTAGAAATATCTCTTTACAGTTTCTCTTATTTTTCTCTTCCTCGTCTTTTATTTTCACTTTTCTCTCATTTCTCTCAAATATTTTTTAGCACAAGCAGAGATAAAGGGGAGGGCACAAACAAAATGAAAACAAATTTACCAAGCTATAGTTTTACAAGGCTCGGCTCATTTGTTGTCAAGTGAAACAAAAGTTCAACAAAAAGAAAGCTAGCTGAAAATAAGATTTCGTCAATCCAAACTCAAGCTCCCTTGAACTTTTAGTTAATTTTTCAAAAGGCTGAAATGTCAATAACAAGAACTTGTTAAGATCTTCAGTTTAAGGTCAAACAAAATGTAAGCAAAGAAATAGAATTCATTAAAACTAATATTTTTCTCGGCTTAAGTCATTTAGAACCCCAAAAAAACTGCTAGAATTATCAAATAATTCCTGAATAAGTTGAAGAAAAAAAAAACAAATAGTGAAAGCATTAGTCAAATAGTAAATCAAGACAAGCATGAGAGTTTTTCTTGATGTTTAGGTCAAGTAATCATAAGAATACAAGATTATTTAGACAATAAAGACGTACCTCATTGTCAACAAGCAATTGATTAAATGTCATGGGAAGATAGGGAACCATCGATGTTCCCAAAATTTCAACCATGCGATGAATAAATGAGATTATCTGCATTGTTTACCAAAGGTTATAAAGCATATGTACAGAGTAGAAGATAAACATTTGGTCTTGTAAGATACCTTCTTGCGCAAGGACTTGATATTTGGAAATATGAACAGTGTTTGCAAAAGAGCATCCAAAGTCTGAAAGTCCAACAAACAAATAAACATGATAAAAATATCAGAAAAAAAAAGGGCAGAGAGGTTATAGGTATGCATGCTCTACAAATTGCATTTCAATATCCACAATAAATATCAATGAAAGAATGATAATAGAAGTAACATGGAATCTTCTACAAAGAGAGCTTCTGACTTAAGCTCAAAAACATTGCAAGAAGAAGGAAAAAAAAAAGCATAAAACTAGGAAAAACATAGATTGAGTCGCATTGGAATATTCATGGTGATAGAGTAATGTCCCCTTGCCTGCTTAAACAGTTGGCCAATCACAGGGCGACTAGTTGTCACTGTCCGCTCGCTGAAACCCTATATAATAAGCCAGTAATCTTGAACATTATTAGTTTGCACCAAAAAATCTGACTAGATAGATTGAAAATGGAGCTTAAATAGAATAGAACTAGATTAAAAGAAAACATTTTATGTTCTAGCAGATCATGGTAATGTTGTAAATTTTTATAAAAAATATCAGTTTTTTGCCAGCAAATTAATCAATTTAACAATGGTTAGTCAGAAATAAAACCTTGCTCAGAGCATTTAAGGCAGCTATGATATGTTGCAGATTCATAATTTGTGGGGAAGATTCTCCAATTCCTTGAGTCTTTACCTCCAAAAGGACTGCTTCAACCTGGATTCAACAATTATTTATGAGAGAATGCTGCTAATTTGTTACATAGACATTGCCAACAAGAAAGGAAATATTCAAGAAGAGATATAAGAGAGGCTTTCTTACTTGTTGATATAGAGGTTTGAGCAATGCAGCTAAGAATTCAGCCTGTTTTTCTGGCAAGACATCTTCCATACCAATCAACAATCCTATGGCCTGACAACCCATCATATGTTTTCACGTGATGAATAAAAATAAAACATTAGGGTGGAAATAAAATGAAGAGACTCGTGAAATCCCATCAAGCTAAAGTTGGTTTATACCTCAAAGGCATGACTACCATCCTCAGAACCGCAATGCCGGAGATCCCCGGATGACCAATCTAAAGAAGTATATCGAACCAGTGCATCTTGCACACTCTGCGCATGTAGAAACAAATAATCATCATAATAATAATAAGCATAGATCAACTGAGGTTAAGGTAGGGTTTTCCATACTCGCAGAATCGCATCTATGAAAGGCACTAGCTTTGCTTTAAGCCGTTTTACAGCTTTCATGAACAAGTAAGTAGCCCTTCTGCTCACAAGGGGATTTGGATGATTTATCCCCCTCTCATCCAAAAAAGCAGCAAGCAAATCAGGTATGCACTGAGAATTATCCTGCACAAACTTCGTGTACTTCGTAATCGTTTCCAAATACACAAGCGCCACTAGTCGATGTGAATGGCAAGCAAATTTTCCAGATAGAAGCATTGGCACCATCTTCTCCGACAAACCAGCATATGATTTTATGCCTTCCTCACTCAACGTCTCGCCCAGCCAATAGAACATGGTCAAGGCAGCTTCTACTTCCTCCATATCCATTTCTGAGGAAGAAAGAGCACTGGCAATCAAATTTTGAATAAACAATTGGGTGATATCTGGTGCCACACGGCATACGCTCCGGAACAGTGCAAACCACTCCTTGCGGTGCTCAGAAATACGGTCCTCCTCTTCCATTCCAATTTTATCAGGACTATTCAGATTACATCTATAGGTAGGATCATAGGAGATCTGTGCGCGAATGGCCTCCAATATCTGAGCAATGTAAACCATCTGTTTCTCGGATGGCGATTTAACGGTGGACAAACAGTCCGAGAGAAAATGAACCACGTTACCGTACTCCAACTTGTCACAGTTCTGCGTCACATAGAAGACAGATGGCAGCGCCTCCTCCAGAAGCTCCATGGCGGTAGACGGCCCCTCTTCCTTCTCAAAAACCAACTTCTTATAGCACTCCAAGACCTCCGAAGCATAACAAATGACCATCGCAGCAAATTTGCCGACCAATCCAGGGTTGCTTAAAACTCGGTTCATGCGGAGGGAATTGAGGAGGTTGAGCTTAGAACGTGAGTCCATTCCTTTTGAAAAAATTGAGACCACGCAGCCGGCGGCAGCTGAGCTGAGCCTTTCTAGCGTGGATGGAGAAAGTATAAGATCAAAAAGGAAGGAAAGGAAGGCATCATTAGCAACCAATCCAATGTCGATCCAGGCAGTGTAACGGCGCATGGCTTCCAGAACGCCAACGGCCAGGTCAGGATCAGAGGAATGGTAAAGAAAGACAATATCGAACCAGGCACGTGCAATTTGGGGGATGCACTGGTGGCGCATAGCGTCCTTCAAGCGGGTGGCGACTGCTGCATCACTGGGAGAACGAACGTAATCCTGGCTAATGATACAGTCATCTAGAGCGACTAAAACGCGCGAGAACATGTCGATGGCAGCGGTGCCGGCTGTAGGGAGGTGGGAGAGAAGGTGGAGGAAAGGAGAAGGCCATGAAGAGGGGTATTCAGTGCCTATGAGAGCAGCTAGGGCTTGGGAAAGCTTGTTTTTTAGGAATGGAGGGGAGGATGAGGGGAGAGGGCGATCCGAGAAGAGCGAGAGGAGGGAGGAGCGAAGGAGAGAGAGATCGTCTGGGGAGAGGGCGGAGTAACGAAGTGTTACGGTTTCGTGGAGGGATTGGACGCACCAGAACTTGACGGGTACGTGGGGGGAGTGGTGGAGACGATCGAAACAGAGACGAATGAGGTCGGAGGGGGAACTGGTTTTGAGGTGGTTGCAGAAGTCGATGGCTTGGGAACGAACCGCGGGGTCGGCGCCAACGATGCAGGGGTCGTAGTTGAATAGAATCGCTCGCTCGAGGTCGTCCATGGCGTGTAAACCCTCTGCCGCTGCAGAATTGCAGAGACGCCGATCCGGAATAATTTTTCGAGAGCAAGAGACTAATGGGAATTTTGCTCCTTGCTTGAGAACTGAATAAGATGGAGAGATGAAGGCGGCGAAGGTTTTTGCAACTTATAAAAAATAGGAAGATTTAAATATGTACCATTAAATTCCTATATATTTAAATATCTAAGACCAAAATTTTTATATTTATATGTATCACTCAAATCTTTGGCGTGACATTAAGCGTCTATTTGGGGGCAGCTATAACTTATTAATAAGTTGTTGCAAATAAGCTGGTCTGTTGTTTGTTCTTTACAGTTTGAAAACAGCTGTGCAACAGCTATTTCGGGATAAATGATCATTCAACCCTTGTGTAGTAATGTTGTTCGTAACAAAATTGTCATAACAATATATTTAATACTTGAGAAGCAATAATCCACTTTAGAACAATACAAAAATAAAATATACATATAAATTAATAGTGAGTATCATGATTACTAAAATTAAAAAAATTATTAAAATTAGATTTAATAATATGATAATATTTAAAAAAAAAAGCAAACTGTGTATATCACGAGTTATGTCATTCTCCAATGATATTATCCATTTTTTATCACTCTCGACGGTAGAATTTCTCAGATTACCTGCCTACCGAAAGAAGTCACATTTCTCTGTGATTATCTGCGAGTACCTGTAGAAATGTCTCCTGTAACCACCACGGTAAATCACGACACCATGTAAGATGGTTATCGTCTATCAATGGAGTTTTGAGAGAAGATTTTTTTTTTATTTCTTGCACATGTTTGAAAAAACCGTACGATGACAAAAAAATAGTACGTCTCATCATGTGACAAGGTTTTAAATATGTGGCAAGATTTTTCTATTATACATTCAGTAATCAATCTACCATATAAGTAGTTATACAAAAAAAAAAAAAAAAACAGAAATGTGAAAGTTGGTTTCATTTTAAATTGAGGCCATTTAACTCCTTCAATTTAGAGCTAACTTTATAAGGCTCAATTTCCTGCACCAATTGACGCAACTTATTAAATCTTTAATATCACCATCATCGTCTTTTTAAAAGTTATATGCACCTTTCATGCATATATTTGTGATACTAAGATGTTGTAAGTGTAAATATCATACTATGTAATTTGATGAGTCCATTCATGCTAGTTGGAATATATAAATAAAAAACATGCAAGATAGTTATCATCTATCCATTGAGCTTAAAGAAAGTAATATTTTTATTTCTTGCACATGTTTAAAAAAACCATTCTATAAAAAAAATATTGCACCCCATCATGATTTTAAATATGCGACAAGGTTTTTCTATTGTATATTCAGTCATCAATCTACCATTTGAGGAAATTTAACTCTTTTATTTCAAAGTAAATTTTATAATGCTCAATTTTAGGAGCACATAACATCCATTCCAATTAAATTCTCTCTCATTCTCGGCATCCAAAATTTTCACTCAAAACCACACAAAATATCAATGGAAACATCAAACAAACTCATGAAGAAACCAGAAATCAAATAGTCTAAGAAAATAGGTGCTACTCAGAAAACCCATCAAGCGAATTCATGAAGATACCAACGCAGCTGAGGGATAGAGGATATTGGAGGAAGAAGCACAGAGGTTAGAAAAGAATGTGAGAGCGAGATAGTTAGGGCAGAAGACGTGAAGAAAATGCGAAAACGGGACGGTTAGGGCAGAAGACGCTGGGTATATCCGATACGCGAAGCCTCGGGCAACTGTGTCAAAATAAGGAGAAGAAACGAGGGCCTTGAGGTCGAGCCAGCGGCCCGTGTTTTATTAAAAATGTGTCGCAAAACTGTAGTTTTGAAACTGTGCCGCAGGCAAAACGTCTCCTAAACGGACCCTAAAGATGTTATTAAAGATATTATTAATATTAACTTTTTTTTTAAATAAAATACACATTTTTATGCATAAATTTTAAATCATGTTATTTTAAATGTCAATTTCTAACTTTAGGATTTAGACACATACATTTATAAGAATTGTGTTGTATGTACGCGAATTTCCCAAAAAACAAGAGGTGTTACGTACTGATATATTTAATATTTTTTTTACAATAGATTTAAATTTTATACTTACATAAAAATTTTATTAATATTAATTTTTGTAAAAATAGAATGCATCTTTTCTTTCATGCATTTTATGATTGACATGCTAAACTATTATATAAATAATATATATATATATATATATATATATACAAGTGATACAAATTTGTTAAGAAAGATAGAGGTTACTAAATTAGAAGTTGAAAATGTAGTACTGTCTCGAGCACCATGACAACGAATTTTTATGGGCAACTATTGATTTTAAAAAAAGATAATTCCCTAAAATTCAATATGTAAATATACGACTTGATGTGGGCTTAATTGAACTTGGATTAACCTAACTTTGGTATCATTGCATTTGTCTTGTCGAGACTGTCAATAAAACATATTAAAATTAAATTTTCATAATTTAACACATTCATACTGAAACAAAATTATTTGGACGTTGTTTTTAATCTAATTCATAGTGAATTTGCAGTTTCTTCAATCTTTGTAGGTTAATTAGTCATTTATTGCTCCACTGATCTCTCGTAATGGTTATCAACCACGTCCAAGCCCGTTATATTACTATGATTGTCTACTCTTTCGTGAAACTAAAATATGTTCCCTATGGACCCTAACCATCATTCCTTATTAAAATTTTCTTAGATGTCCTAGTTAACATTGATTGCCATATATACCTATATTAAGTTGGGGGCATTTACATGCACTGATATGATTTTCATAGTACTTATTGTATTTACCTATCAATTAAATATTCATATTTACATGCATATTACTCAATCTTTAACATCACATCAAATGCCACCACCAATATCCTTTTAAAAAGTCCACATGTTTATGTATAAGTTTATGACACCAATATGTTATAAGTGTAAAAATCAAGCTTTAGGTGTTAGATACACATAAAAGCTATGTAGTATGTATGTAAATTTTAGGTCAACTTATTATGTTTTCCATCTTTCTTTTTTCTTATATATCTTAAATCAATAAAATCTTTTGGATGATTTGCATGCATCCCATTTAATTCCTATGTATTTACATATTTAATACTTAAAACTTCGTACATACAACCTTATCGATGCATGAAAAGATTCATTCGGCTTTTAAGCGTCAAAATAATGATATTTTTTTATGTGATAAGAAAACCTCGAGTGATTAAATGTAACAAGTATACTTTAAGTGCAATAAATGTAAATACAAAGGAATCGGTTGGGTATTTATGTAAATGCCCCAAAACTTATTTAAGCTAAGTAGCTTCTTTTATTGTTCATTTTAGCCTTTTAGGTCTTGGTCATTAAGCTATAGTTAAGCTTAATGACAGTGATCGTCATTAAACTTAATCTAACTAATATCAGTCGGGTTATTAAAACAATACATTCCTTGGAAGGGGGTGAGAATGCAAAAAATTAGCTTCCAAATAAATAAAAATTATTTCTTTTCATTAATGCTCTGCCCACAAAATCAATAAAACGTGCAGAATTAAAATTTTTAATGCAAAAAATGTGGCAAATGCCCAAAGTCAAAAATTGTGGCTGTAATGCATGTAAAAGACTAGGTCTCTTCGAGAACATTTGCAATAATTCCGGCTCATTGACAGAGTAATTTTGTCGTTTATGTATTTTTCTTTTTTAATTTTATATTTGAATTTTTTAAGTAATCGAACTAAGCCCATCAGTCGAAGCAATTGATATAGCCCAGAGTAAACCAATCATCGGAGAAGATCATCATTACGTACAAGAGCAACCGTTCATCCTTATTCAAAGTATCATCTGGCATCTGCTTCACGTTTATAATTCTTTTATTTCCCTTTATGTATGGAAGAAAAGGGGAGGATGAGAAAAAGGTGATCCCAACTCTCTCTCCCACTTAAACCAAAAACTCTTTCTCGTATTCATTCTCTCTTTCTCAGAAGATTGTAGGGAGAAATCAAGAATTCGAGTTCTGACGACACATAAACCACATTCTTCCATACCTTTCTCCGAAATACGGAGTCCTATGAGCTTACAGATAATACAGGAGCATATGTCCTTTGACAAATTCTAAAATATTTATTGCAAAAAAAAAAAAAAAAAAAATATAAATACCAATACCTCCTAAAACTTTGCAATAATTAATATCACATCTTATTGATAAATGATAAAATATATCAATTAACAGATCAAATTAAAATAGTAAGCACCTTGATTTGTTTAATCAATTAAGCCGATAAAATTGAAAAATATGAGTGGAGATTTTATCGTGAATTTTAAAATTTAAATGAGAGATTAAAAAATAGATGAAAGTAATTATTATATTTATAAATAATAATATTTTGAGTGATTTGATTGTCCTTTTTTTTAATTTTGCAGATTGCTTTTTTTATTTTATTTTTTTTTCATTGTTTAAGGAGCCACTTAGATTTTATTTTTATTTTTTCAAAAATTCTCATTAATATTTAAAATATTATGGAAAAAAAGTAAGATAAATTAAAGTATAATTATCAGATATTTTTAAATATTTATAATTCTCAGTTAAATTAAGAAAATATTTATCTGAACATAAATTTACAATTTTCATATACCTAATTACCTCGCCAAAGGAGACGCTGCCAAGTGCCAGCCTTGGATTCCACGTTCCATCTTCACTTTCAGCACCGTATGGCGTCTCATACATGATGGTTATCCCTAACTTTAAGAAATAACAAAAAAAAAAAAAATCACATAAATATTATAATTGTAAATATATAAATTTAGAAATTAAATATATAATATCTATGTGATATATATGTAAATGCAAGAAAAAAAAAATCATATTACTTTTTATAAGAAAATATGAGCTCATCTCATTTTGCATATATATATATGGAAATCTCAATATCTCATCATTTTTCTTTAGTTTTACAGCGGTCGATAAGTACCCCTAACACTAATGTTGTCGGTACACATAAAATGAGATTTGTCGGGAAAAATATAGGAGGTGCATTTGATTAAGTTTTATATTTATCAGACCTCATTTATGCTTATTCATATAAAAAAAATATATGTTTATATAAAAAAAATCAAATACTTATTATTATTATTACTTTTTCCCATTCAATTAATATATTTAAGCAAAGTACAAATTAAAGATGATCATTAACAAATTTAAGCAAACTAAGTATGAATACATATGTGAAAGCACAACTCAAACTTGAGCTAAACACGGACTACTTATGATTTGACTAAGCCAAATTAAATCCAAAATGAAGAAGTGTTTGTGATATTGATAAAAATTATTCATGATATATGAGAAAATTAAATTATAAACAAATCTTCATTTTACCCATGGAAGAGACTTTAAGATGAGAGCTCACAAACTTAAATAATTGTCAGCTCCGCGCACTAATTGACACTAATTGCCATCGACTAATTGACACTAATTTCCATCAACAATCATCATAAAAAATCATTGGAGTTCTACGCCTTTGTCTTTAGTCATTGATGCTCCCAATCACTTAGACCTCTATTACCCATCTAATGATAATTCATAATATGATCATTCATACATACTTTTGTATGTTATAAATAATATAATTAAAGTATTTTTCAAGTTTCATAAGTCATTCAATCTACATAGCATAAAAAATTATTTTAAAAAAATAAAAAATATATCTAATAATATGTATTATAAATCCTAAATATAGCTATTTTGTTGCATTTGATTGAATTAGAGTTTTTGGTAGTCAACGCGGGACAAGATTATAATAATACTTATCAAATAACCCGAAAATTATGATCGTAATTCATTTAATTTATCACCGAATTTTAAGAAAAATTTCAAAAAATATTAATTTATAAATATTTTAAACTGTTTGAATATTAATATTCATATTAATATTTTTGAATATTAATTTAGAAATATTAATATTTTAAACTGTTCGTAATTATCCTAAATTTTTTTTTTAACCGCATGAAGTATTTTCTATTATAAAATGCAGCGGCTCAGGCAATACCAGCGAAAAGCTCTCTCTCCCTCTCTCTCTCTCTCTCTCTCTCTCTCTCTCTGCAAATCCCTCGTCCTCCTTGTCAATGTCTGCTGGTTTTCTGTTTCTTCCACGGCTTCTCTAAGAAATTAGGGTTTCTCGAAGCTCTTGAATTCCTTCCTCTAATAATTTTTTAATCCTGGTACGCCAGCAGCCCATCCCAACGCTCTATACCCCATCTTTTGCTCCCCAAGTCCGGTAGTTTCGATCGTCCTTGCATCTTCCGGATAAAGCTTGCGCTACGGTTACCGACCCGATGTCCGTTCCGGCAATCGCTCTTTACTCGACCCCACATAACGGTTTCTGCTCGTCTGCTTACGAATTCCGATCACCGGAGTGCGAATTCAATCCCTATGGCCATAAGCCGGCAGTCATCGGCGGGCTTTCCTGCCTCTTCTCCTCGTCTTCTCCCTTCCGCTTATCCACTGCGACCGCCTTCGAAGAACTTCGGCATGATCGAATGGAGTCCTTCTCTACGTGCACATCGTCATCCTCCTATAAATGTCGGGAGCAGAGCCCTGTCTCCGTTTTACACGGACCCATATCCTGCAGCGGGAGCGTGGTGAGCTCTGCGAGGAGTCCGCCTTTGTTGAGAATCCCTCGCGATTGGAGTTTGAGCGATGTGAGGGTGGGAAGGGAGAGTTTGCTTAATGGCCTTGTTGGGAAGGCGGTGGGCTCTTGTTTGGATTATAATTCGCCCAGTGTTTCTTTACATAAAAACTTTGATGTGGAGGATCTGACCTTTAACTTGGAGGAGAGCTTTGCGGAGGTCCAACCCAGCTGTGAGCCCTATGCTGTCGAGTTGCTCTCCGGGGCTCAATCAAGGCATACGATCTTCAATGAAGAGATTGTGATGAAGGCGTTCTCTGAAGCAGAGAAAGCTCATCGGGGGCAGGTGACGCTATAATTGAATTGAATTAACTTAGATAAGATAAAACTGGATCTTAAATAATATTCATCACTGGTTCACGTTCTGGGATGGATCTGTTTCTTTTGTTGATTCTGATTTCAAATTTTGAATTGAATTTCTTTTGTTTGACTGCCTAGATGAGGGTAAGCGGTGATCCATACCTTCAACATTGCGTGGAAACTGCAGTTTTGTTAGCTAAGATTGGGGCTAATTCAACTGTTGTAGCGGCTGGGCTTTTACATGATACGCTTGATGATTCTTTTATGGATTATAGTTATATTCTGCAAAGTTTCGGAGCTGCTGTAGCTGATCTTGTTCAAGAGGTTGGTTGGATTCTTCTCTGAATTTTTTTATTTTCTTTCAAAATTTTTTTAACAAATATGCTTATTGGGTTCCCTGAATGTGAGTATCAAAGATGCGGCATGTATGGACTGATTAAGGAGTCCTTGCCTTTTATTTTCCAACAAGTTACTTATGCAGCAGTGTATGCAAGAATCGGATTAAGAGAAATTATGTGATATCATATGAAAATCTAACTTTACCAAGACACTTCTTAAAAGATTATCCTTTTTTCATATAATGAAGGATTTTGCTGTGTGATGTATGTGTTGCAAGGACAATTTTTTTTTACTGAACTCTGTGAAGGCTTTAAGGAGAAATTTGGCATAAAGTGCTTGGCCTACCTGATTAACTTATCAGATGAAGATGCTTTCGAAGTAAGGCATTTAAAAGTGCAAGACGTGTGAATAAATTCTTTGCTTTTGAATTTTTTGATATTATCTTTAATGCTTTTTAACTTTTTTACCCTTTAGGCTTGGTTAGTTGATTGTTGCTTTTTATATTGAAAGCATTATTTAAAAATGCTATTTTTGTGCAAATTTGAATTGATTGAATTAATCATTTGTAAATTCAATTATATTTTTATTATTTTCTTGATGTCATTGTCCTTACTGTCATCATATAGGAATGTAGGTATTTTGTATCATTCATAAATGCTGTATAGTATTCTTTTAATTTTACAATTCTTTCAATTGGAAATTTTTGCAGGTTTCAAACCTTAGCCAATTAAGCAAGCTTGCACGCGAAAACAATACAGCTAGTAGAACAGTAGAGGCCGATAGATTACACACGATATTTCTCGCAATGGCAGATGCGAGAGCTGTTCTCATAAAACTTGCCGATAGGCTTCATAATATGATGACATTGGAAGTCTTGCCTGTGACCAAGCAACAGAGGTTTGCGAAGGAAACTTTGGAGATATTCGTCCCTTTGGCAAACCGTTTGGGCATTTCAAGTTGGAAGGAGCAACTAGAAGACCTTTGCTTCAAATATCTCCATCCTCAGCAACACAAGGAGCTATCTTGCAAACTTCTTAGTTGTTTTGATGAAGCGAAGATCACATCTTCTAAAGAAAAGTTGGAGCGAGCTCTCAAGAATGAAGGCCTGTCGTATCTCATTCTTTCTGGGCGACATAAGAGCTTATTCAGCACTTACTCCAAGATGATCAAGTATGTTTGTTGGCTTATCTCTTTATCAGTTCCCAAAAATGTGAGAAAAGATTCAAAATAATCACTTTACTTCTTGCAGGATGACCATTTTAGTCCTAGAGTCTATAAAAATGCCAATTTAATCCTTAGGCTCTATTAACAGAGGCTAAAAAAAGGACAATTTTAGCCCATGTAAAAGGAGCCTGGGACTAATTTGACACCTTTATAAATTCTGAGATTAAAGTGGCTCCATTTAAATAGTAAGGGGGCTATTTGACACTTTAATTCCCAAATTATTCACTTTCATAGATTCAAATCAATCTGTCCTATCAAAAAGAATTCCATTACAATCTCGTGATCCTCGAAAACTCATCGCGAGGGAAATACTCGTCATTAATGGTCATTTTTTGCAGGAAGAAGCTAACTATGGATGAGATACATGACATTCATGGACTGAGATTGATAGTTGAGAATGAGGAGGATTGCTTTAGAGCACTCTATATTGTTCATCAGCTATGGCCTGAGTCTTTGGGAAGGCCCAAAGACTATATCTCGCATCCCAAATTTAATGGGTATGCCTTGATTTTCTCTCTGTTATTTCTTGCCTGCCATTATAACTATGAAGGTAGATTAATGAATTATTTGTGCTTTTACCGATATTTACTTCCAGTTATCAATCTCTACACACTGTTGTGATTAGTGAAGATAAGTTGCCATTAGAAGTTCAGATTAGAACGAAAGAGATGCACCTCCAGGCCGAATTTGGATTCGCTGCTCATTGGAGATATAAGGAGGGTGACTGTGAGCATTCGTCTTTTGTGCTTCAGATGGTTGAGTGGGCAAGATGGGTTGTGATGTGGCATTGCAAGATGGTCGATGTTGAAAAATTCTCATCCTTTGGTGATTCTGATTCGGTAAGGACGTCATGTCCTTTTCCTTCGCATTACGATGACTGTCCTTACTCGTACGCCCTCAACCATCACTGTGATCATGATGGACCAATCTTCATCATCATGCTCGAAAATGAGAAGGTGACTCTCTCTTTTTGATTGGAATGTTAATATTTTTTCTTGTTTTACATATCCCTTTCAGGATGATTTAAATTTTGGGAATTTTACATTCCCACCAAATAATTCTTTATGCATTTACATATCCAACTCTTAAAATTAGATATCTGCACTTATAATACCTTGGTGTTATAAACCTATGCATAAAAACATATATTTCACTTTTTAAAAAGATGACGGTGGTATTTTGGATGTGATGTTAGAGTGGTATGCTTGTAAATACAAATATTTAGGTGTTAGGCTTCTAAATATAAAACAACTGTGTGGTATGTATGTAAATGACCTTTAAATTTTGGGGCTGTTGTGAGATATGTACTTCCTGGCATAGAAATGAGACGAAAAAGAACACAAGCAAACACAGATCGTTTACGTGGTTCGATCCAACTGGATCTACGTCCACGGGAGGGAATCAATCAAATATTTCACTAAGGCAAAAGAAATGGAGAATACATAGCTTATACATAGAGATGAGCCCTCATCTTCCTTCTATGGCCTCCCTCTCAAGCGACACCTTGATACAAGGCCTCAAGATGCTCTCCTCCTCTCTAACTCTATAGCTATTCTCTCCTCCTTTGTGGTAGCTTAAGATATCTTCTCCCTTTCTTGTCCTAAGCCTCACACCCTTAAGATCTCTTCCCTTTCCTCTCCTAAGCCTCACACCCTTAAGATTTCTTCCCTTTTCTCTCCTAAGCCTCACACCCTCTCTATTTATAGAAGCAAGAGAGTGGTAGGTGGGAGGTAGGTGGGAGGTAGGTGGCCGGTAGGAGAGCGGTAGGTGAGATGTGGTAGGGGGCGGTGCCACATTACAAAATTGTCCTTTTACCTTAGTTCATTAATTGGGGGTCAAAATAACAGGGGCATTTACATACATACCACTCAATTCCACATATTTACATAATTTAACACCGAAACTTTACTTTTTATATTTATACCCCGCAAATCTTTCTTATCAAATAAACAATAGTACTTTTAACTTGTAAAAAGTAAAATACATCTTTTCATGCATAGCTAAGGTGACATATATGTAAAAATTGAAGTTTTGGTGTTTGCTATGTAAATAAATAGGAATTGAGTCGTTTGTATGTAAACCTTCCCTTAAATTTTTGTGCATTGAGATTACTTTGATTCCCTATATATTGATTTACAAGCTCTTATTAGAATTTGGGACACCAAAAAACACACGTGCAACTTGCAAACAATTACATTTTTAATCATCCTTCCACTCTGTTGAATTTTGGTTTGTTGTAAAGGACCATTTGATTGCAAGTATTTAAACTTTTGGAGAAGTTTTACTAGTGTAAAGTAAATGCAACCTTTGAAATGCAGGGAATTATTTTCATCTGTTTTGTTGTAACCCTTGCAATTAATTAAAAAAAAAAGAAAAAGGAAGAAATCCAGGGCATGAAGTGGTCACAATTGTATTGTGAAGGATTGTCATGGCATCTGAGCTCGCTGGTCTGGCATTAAAAAGCTTGGTGGCATGTGCGAAACCTCGACAGGAGCTCGCTAGTGCTCAAGATGGTTTCAACGTCGACTTGGGAGAGAATGAAATAACAACAGGATTGCAATTCAACAAAAGAGATCATTGACAGCATATGTAGTGTTCTGGGACCTCGCCGATAGGCAACCACATTGCTGTTTATTCCAAAACCAGTTGATGAATTCGCAATTCCTTAAAAAAAAATCACCTTGAAATTGCTTTTCAGCCAACCAAACTCATTAATTTTCAAAACTCCAAATTAAAAAAATACAATGCTCTCAAAATTCTTCAAACCAAAAAGCCTCTAAATCCATTTGCCCGGCATTTCTGAGGTTTGAAGCTTTCTCATCATTTGCAAGTTATTAAAAAATGATGGCAGTAATATTAATTGAACGTAAGTTTCTCCCCTGAGATTTCCATGAACTTTTATTGCCTTTCTCATTTTAAAATTTGCTTTTCTAGAAGTCTTATACCCTGTTTTACATGTTGAACAACTTCATCATAACCTGCAAGCAAATATCCATGTTCAACAAGGAAGATTCACATAAATACCGCTCAATTTTTATGTATTTACATAGCTAAAACCTAAACATCAATTTTTACATATATTGCACCTTCCATAATATTTCACTTTTTAAAAGTTAATTTCATTTGACATGATATAAATATAAAAAGCAAAGTTTTATATGTTAGACATGTAAACACATAGAAGTATTGGGTGGTTTGTATGTAAAAACCCCCATAATATTTTTGGTTTTTTTTATTTTTTTATTAAGGAGTGCTAATTGCCATGTTTTGATTGAGTAGATGTCTGTCCAAGAATTCACACCAAACTCAACTGTAATGGATCTACTGGAGAGAGCTGGAAGATGGAATCAAAGAGACCAACCTTACAGCTTCGCGTTAAAGGAAGAACTGCGGCCGAGACTGAATCGTAAGCCTGTTAATGACCCCAGCCAGAAGCTGAGAATGGGAGATGTTGCCGAGCTGACGCCATCCATCCCTGATAAATCTCTCAAAGAATATCGGAAAGAACTTAAGCGCATGTATGATCATGGCCTCTCAATCTCAGCCCCAAGAGGTACTACAAACCTAACCCTAAACCATAGTTACCATTAAGAATCTGCACATTTCTCCGTAAATATGAATGAATCTGTACATAATTGCACGAAGTGCTTGGATTTATTCAGAAAGGCTAATTTCTAGTGCCGATCTCAGATGTAATTCTTATAGTTTAGATTGGTTCAGTGCTGTGTAACTCGAGCGCTCTGTTCTTATAGCTGGTTTGTTCAATTGTTTTGTGTGTATTTTATTTGGTGAACAAAGAATTATATAAATGTTATGTTTAGGGGCTGTTTGTTTGGAAGGAATATTGGGGGTACAGTGAAGCAAGTACATAATATTTTAAACTGTCAATATTTTGTATGATTCAAATTAAAAACACACATTTTTTAGGTGTTAGGTATATAAATTCATACAAGTTGTGGGTTCTATATCTAAATATCCCTAATCTTTGTAAAATAAAACACACATTTTTATGCATATGTTTTGAGGTTAATATGGCACTAAACTGTTATATAAATAATTATCAAAATGTAGATGTTAAATGTATAATAAATATATAAATACGTAAAAAATTGTCTGTTATGTATGCAAATCCCCATTCTAATTTTTTGTATTTGATGCTACCATTTTTGAGGCACGCGAGAATAGCAAGTGTAACTTCACATCAGTTAGTTTTCACTAGTATAATAGAAAACAGTGGAGAATGAATAATATTTATTCATGTATTGATCGTCCTATTTATGGGAATGGAACATGATCTTACAAAATTAGAGCTTTGCTCCCTCATCATTAGCATTTTAAGGGAACCTTTTAATAATAACAATAATATTTGAATATAATAACACTGCGTGATCTTATAAAATTATAGATTTGCTCCTTCATCACTAGCGTTTTAAGGGAGTCCTTTAATAATTATAAAAATATTTGAATATAATAACACAGTGAGAATATCATCGTTCGCTTGTCATGTTTTTGTTTCGTAGATACTTGATTCGAGGTTGGATCATCTGACGACCAGTTCGAAGAAAGTTGACCGTCGTTCTGGGGACTGAAATCCTTTGACAGACCCTTCATGTCGTCCGTTTCATATTTCTTTTGTTGGTATCTAATTAATCACTCATTAGAAGTTACAATCGACCGGCTACACGATCGACCGTCTCTTTCTACGTGAGTCGTCGTTTGTCTTGAATATCATGCCAACATTTTTTTTTTTTTGTATACAATTAAATATAACATTTAACCACTCAAATTTAAAATATAACAAATGAACCATTTTTTTGATTGCAACTAATATTCTAAACTAATAGAGATTTTGAGTGAAGATTTTCTCATAAAGGGATTTTTACATGCTAACTACTCAAAATATTAACTATAGAACAACTTTTTATTTTCATAACAATCCCCATCCTAAACTCATGAAAATTTTGAGTGAAATTTTAGGTGATTATAATATTCTATATAAAATTTGGATGATTAAAATATTATATTTAATATTTTAGATATTTGATTTTAAAAAACCCTTTCATTAAATACTAGACTTATCAATGTTTCTAGAAGACATGTCTCCTTGCTTAAATGCCTCTGGATTTTTTTTTAAAATTTTTTTTTATTTTTTTATTTGCATGAAATTTCATAAGAGTAATTGAATGATTAACTAATTTTTAACTTTTGTATGTTTGTAATTAAACAAACATCTCAACATGAGATAGCTAATAAGGTTTAGAAAATTAAGGCTTAGTTTGAGAAGACTTGCACCTCCTTTGTATTGTGGTGGATGCCAATGGGTAGAAAATTTTTTATACGGTGAAGCTCTGATTTCTCCCGAAACAATTAATTGATTCACAAGTAGGGTGATTTTTCATCGTTTTAGATCGCATGTGCATGTGCCCTTCTTCGTTTCCGCCAACGTGACTTTCAAACTTTTTCAAACGAAGCCTAAATTTGGTTGAGTTTTTTAAAATTTAAAATAAATTTATCAAAATATCATCCTAAAAAATTATAAGTAGATCCTTAAAGTTTACATGAATAAGATTTTGTCTTTAATTTAAAATGAGCATAAAGATTTAAAAAAATTCCGGTCTTTCAATATAAATGTTGCGAGTCATCTTATACATATTATTTTATGATGAAATAACTTTATTAAGCACTTTGTTAATGATTTGTGAGCATTATATGCTAGTGATTTTTGTATAATGATGTTCCATGCCAATTATTCCTTATATCTGTATTGATAATCGTTTTTGATGGTTTTTTATTGTTCTGTATGTTCGTATTACTTGGGTTCTTTATTTTTTATTTTTTTTTTGTGTATTTTTGCTATCTTGTTTTTTATTTTGTTGAATAAAAATTCCTCCGGGAGTATTGAAAAAATATTCCATGTCAATTATACATAATTTATCATAATTAAATTTTAAATTATTTAGGCATTTTTTTTAAAATAGATTGTTAATCGATAAAGACATCACATCTCTATGATTTGTTAGCCTTTAAATTTTATTGTATCATATATGATGCTTAATAGTATTTTAGTAATTCATAACATGCCTCATACTATTTGCATAATGTCATGTTTTACTTATGAAGATTTTATACAAATTTCACTATTACCTATAAGAAAGGTTATTTAGTGATTATTAATTTGTGAAACCTAATTTCCTTGTCCTGAATGCTATTCATCTGAACCTTTGACCATAAATCTTCCAGCATCAAAGCATGGCCTCCATCTACATTTTAATTTGGGCATTACGTCTTGTTTGAGAAGACAGTGAAGTTCCGTTCCGTTGTGGTGAACGCAGATATGTCGATTTGCTTTCATTTGGTAAAACGGGAGACTGATTTTTGCCATTTTAAATCACATCTGATAGTATACGTTCCCCGAACGTGACTTTTAAAGGAGCTTAAGTAAACGACGAAGTTTCTTCAAACAAGCTGTTCACGTTATAAATTAGAAAAAAGAATATAGCACTATCATTTTTTTGTTGGATCTCTTTCACTTATCATTTTATATATCCTCTAATAAAAAGCTTAACAACATAGACATTGAATGAATGCAGATGACATATTACAAAGAAATGCTCATTCCTTTGATTTGAAAAAAATTACATAACGGCTTCATCAGGAACCAATTACATAAAAAAAAACATAAGAAATACCAGTTCTATTAAGAAAATTTACTAATAGTGTTAATTGTGTGGGTATGTATGCAAATGCCCATCATTTGTGGCGCCTAATGACATGATATACCTTAAAAAACTAACATTTCTCAAAATCTTCTTATAGTAATAATCCAAACAAAATATAGCCGTTACAATGATGTCAAAGACTCAAGGGAGGTGCACTGCACTGCAGCTTTTACGTTTCCTCTTCCTTCCACAATCCATTCAAAAAAACATCACCAATAATCACCACAAGAGCACAATCCGTCTCTGTAATTATGAAATCTTTTGGCATCTCTTGCAATAATCTCCCTCCCTATCACCTTAGACACCAATTTCATCCAATTGTGACAATCACCACAAACTCTAAGGTTCTTAAAAATGGTGATAGAATCATATGCATTCTCTCGGCTGCTCAGCACCCCAAAGGCAACGGCTAGTTTCTCACTGTGGTAAAACAAAGACCTCTCCGTTTCCCCCTCCTCCATTTCCTGCAGCACAAACCTCCTATCTGGAACATAACCCAACCTCTTCGTCTTCTCGATCAGCTCCTCTAACTCCTCGTAGATCAGTTCTCGTTTCGGGTGGGACTGATCTCCAGCCATGAATCTATGAACCTCCTTATCGGCACGAATCCAACTCACTGCAGGCTCTTTTTTAAATCCCATTTCTCTCATCACACATTTGATTTTGATAACCTCCTTCCATTTACCCAACGAGGCATAAATGTTAGATAACAAAATATACGTTCCCTCATCTCCAGGATCAAGTTCAAGCACCTTTCTCGCCGCCCAATTCGCCATTTCGAGCCTTCCATGGATCCTGCAAGCACCGAGCAATGTCCTCCACAACACTTTGTCTGGTTTCTTCACCTTTGCTAACAATTCTACGGCCTCCTCCAACCTCCCCGAGCGGCCGAGCAAGTCAACCATGCAGGCATAGTGAACATTAGAAGGTATAGGGATCGACGAGAAGACTCGACGCCCTTCTTCGATCATTCCCGAGTTGCTGCAAGCATTGAGTAGATTAACATATGTAGCATCATTTGGTTCGACTCCTGAAGATTTCGCTGTATGAAAGAGTGGTAGCCATGAATGAGGGAGTTCAGAGAGACCAAATCAGGAGAAGATAAACTATCAAAAACCATTCTTGCCATTCCATCATGGCCACACTTTCCATAAGTGTCAACAAGAGCAGAAACCACAAATCTGTTTGTGTCCAGGCCGGTCTTCAGAGCATAGCCATGGACCAGCTTTCCTTGTTGGAATAATGCGAGGGATGAGCAGACAGTGAGAGTAATTGATAAAGTGAAAGCGTTCGGTGTTGCGGAACTGAGAATCATGCGACTGAACATTGAAAAAGCTTCTTCTTCTCTATGGCTGTGCAACAGAGAAGTAATAATAGCAGTCCATGTTACAGTGTTTGGATTGGCAATGCCATTAAAAATCTCCAAAGAGGATTCGACAAGGCCGCACTTGGAATACATGGTGAGAAGAGAGGTTTGCGCAGCAATCCTACAATCGAATCCAGATTTAAGAATGGCGCCATGAATCAGTCTTCCAGAGCTCAAATCCTCCATATTTCCACATGCTATGAGAACGCTAGCAAAGGTAAAGTCGTTAGCTTTAATGGAAAAGGTCATCATTTCTCTAAATACTTGAATGGCGTGTCCATCTTCTCCGCTCTGCGTGTAAGCCACAATCAAAGCTGTTGTCAAGACGACATCTTTAGCCTTCACTGAATCATACACGATGCGTGCTTCTCTCAATCTGCCAAATTTGGCATAAAAATCCACCAAAGCGCTGCTTACATAGACATTTCCGGCTCCTAAACCGAGAACCGCAAACTGCCCATGAGCTGCCCGGCCGCCATTAACGAGTTTCAGATGCGAGAAAGCTTTGAAGATACTGGAGAAGGTGAACTCGTCCGGCAGGACACTTTCGATGAGCATATTTTTGTAGAGATCAACAGCTTCTTTATTTCTTCCTTGGAGGATGTAGGAAGATATCATGGAGCTCCACGTGACTACATGCCTTTGCGGCATATCGTCGAACACCTTGCGTGCATCGTCGACGCTTTGGGAGCTGAGATACGATGCGATTAGCTTGTTGCCAAGGCTGAGATGGGGGAAGCCAGACTGCTTCATATGAAGGTGGACTCGTCTTGTTTGGCATAGGGATTTCTCCTGTGCGCAACGGTTGAGGAGGGAGATGTAAAGTTTGAAACTTTCCGGCGGCGGCGACGCCGGCTTTATCGCCGGTGTCAGGTGGGCTTCGAGGATACAGGTGCGAGTTGTTGAGGAGCAGATAGTTCGGAATGGGGGGAGCCTCATTCATTCGTGATTTTCTTGGTCTCCGGCTCGTCACCATTAGCGAGTAGCAAAGATTTTCCGGGTATGATTGTATTTATTTTACTATATTCAGTGAATATAAATGATTGGCTGAAGGCTATTAGACGAGCCCCGATCATTTCTATGTGTGCTAAATATTCGAGAACTCTTCAAAGGTGACGAGCCTCATTCATTTCAGATATTCAGTTTTAGTTCTACTTAAATGAAGGCCTTTAGACTCCAATGTAAACCTCCATAATTCAACTTTTTCCTGGGCTTTTTCTCTCATTTCATCCACGAGAAGGATATCATCAGCAAAAAGCATACACCAAGGTACATCCTCCTGTATATGTCCAGTAAGACCATCCATAACTAAAACAAAAGGATATAGGCTTAATCGCAATCCCTGATGTAATCCAACAGAAATAGGAAAATATTTGGTCAATCCTCCTTCAGTTTGAACACAAGTAACAACTCTAGTATACATATCTTTAATGACTTGAATATAAGTCATATCAATACCTTTCTTTTCAAGAACTCTCCAAAGGATATCTCTTGAAATCTTATCGTAAGCTTTTTCTAAATCAATAAAAATCAAATGTAGATTCTTCTTATTATCTTTGAACTTCTTCACCAAACCTCTCAATAAATGTATAGCTTCCATAGTAGACCTGCCCGACATAAATCCAAATTGATTATGAAAAATCTTTGTGATGCGTCTTAACCTATGTTCAATTACTCTCTCCCATAACTTTAAAGACAAATATTTATAATCAATTAAAATTATTAATTAAACAAATATAAAAATATATTAAATTCTACTTAAATGAACAATTTAATATAAGTATTAAGATTTAAATCTTATTCCAACTTTTATTATTTACTGTTACACTCTCAAAACAACTTCTCGCTCATGAACTTCTCATGTTCGGCTCGTTAAGTAAGCAAGCCGAATTCGAATAAATTTTTTACGCTTGATATATAAACTAGCCGAACATGAATAGTTTTATTTTATAACGAGTTGAACATGAGCTCAAGCTCGGCTTGTTTGCACCGCTAGGTGGCCCAATATTTCCAGCAATTTAAAGAACTATTCCTTCAAAATTATTTATTAAAAACTTAAAAAAAAAATCATCCATCTTTCATATATATAAGACCTTCTAACACTCTACCACATAAAAAAGAAAAATTAAAATGGTATTTAAATACATGGTACTAAAAAACTATCAAATTTAAGTACCTTGCCTCCAAAGTTCATTATTTATTCAATGAGTCGAGGGCATGGCTCAAGAGTAAAAGGAGAAATAACAAGAGATATGAAGGAATGTAAAATGATTTTCTTGTTAAGCTCTGTCAATTACAGGAATATTTATAATCAGCAAAGAGCATACTTATTAATAGCTACAGGAGTACATGCGACATTACATAGGTAAGCAAACAAATATAAAAAACTTTACATAGTGTTCAATCTATTTTTGTTTACAGGAGAAGGAGTGGATAACCGTGGAGATGAGAGCGAAGAAGATCGTAAGCAGAGGAGTATGGAAAGCAAATGAAATCGTTCGATCCTTCACATACTAGTAAAGCCTTGATACACCATGTCAAGTTGAGCATTAGGTGTAGTGATGATCAACTTGTGAGTAAGTTCGATGTGCTTTTTAGGGTTTAGGTGGATTAGAAGAGATGTTGGGGTCGAGTTGTTGTGGTTTAGTGAAGAAGTCAACAGTGGGAGTGATAATAGGGGAGGTGGAGAGTTGTTGGGTTTGGGATGAGGAGTTTGTGGAGTCAATGGGGAGATTGCAATTTGTGATGGTAGAGGTGGGAATGAGGAGAGACGAATGTGGACAGGCTGACCGAGGCTAAGGTGAGTTGTTAGAGGGTTGATGCTTGAAAGGAAATTATGATTCATTGAAAGTGAGATGCCTTGATTAAATGATACAATCTTTATGAATATCATAACATTAATAACCCTTGTGATGGTGGTTGTAACTCAAGAAAATACATAGAGGAGCTTTTGGAGTGAATTTATGGGTTGTTGAGGGTCTATGCCAAGGGTAACAAGTGCAATGAAAGGTTTTCATGTTATTTCATTTAGGTGAATGGTTTTTGAGAAGCTAAAAAGGAGAGAGATTATTGTGTGTTATGGGATGACAATCTATTAATTAAACAGACAACAATGTGGATTGCTGCCATCCAAAACTTGGGAGTTAGAGAAGTAGTGTTAAGCAAGGTTTTGGTTATTTCAATTATGTGTTTGTTTTTCGTTCGGCAACACATTTTTGTTTGGGGTATAGGGACAACTAAATTGTTGTTTTATATCGTGGTCTTGTAAGTGTAATTGTAAGGTATGTGATTTATATTCAGTATCACTGCCAAATCTAAAAATTTTGATTTTAACATTGTATTGACTCTTAATTTGTTCTTGCAGGTTAATAAAAATTAGTGAGATTTCATATTTGGAATATAAGGGGAAGCACCAAAAGTAACGAGAATATTATCAATGAATGTTGCATAATACATGCAATCATCTAGAGAGAAAAGCCTAAAACATCTGTGTGAATCAATTCAAAAATGTTGTCCCTGAGGAGCTCAAACCATCTAGAGAGAAAGGCGAGGGGAGCTGTGGTCACTGTCTTGATGTGCTGCATCAAGAACTTGAGAGAAGTAGGTATTTGAGTCCCCTTCATTATGTTGAGAAGTTCTTGAGAATATTGGGTGATGTGAGGAGTGGTGGAGGAGGAGGGGTTGTTATCCATGGATCTTTAGCTGTGAAGGGCCAATGACGCTGATACCATAAAAGGAGAAATAACAAGAGATATGAAGGAATGTAAAATGATTTTCTCGTTAAGCTTTGTCAATTATAGGAATATTTATAACCAGTTGGGTGGCATACTTGTAAATAGTCACAGGGGTACATACGACATTACATAGATAAGTAAACAAATATAAAAAGCTTTACATAGTGTTAACTGTTTTTTTTACTACAAGAAGAGGAGTGGAGAACCGTGGAGACGACAGCGAGGAGGATTGTAAGCAGAGGAGCATGAAGAGCAGTTAAAGTCGTTCAATCTTTCACATACTGGCAGAGGAGACTTGATAAAAAGGCTTCTAAATCTTAGATGGCAAAGTTGGGATGAGAACGGTGACAATAGATCTCGTAGGATGATCTTGTTTAGGGATTCAATGCGAAACATTATTTTTTTATTTTATTATAACATTTTACAGGCTATATAAGCAAAAAATGAATTTTCAGCATGAGAAATGTAAATTTGATAGGTTTAGGTGTATGTATATAAATCCCCTAAAATTTAAATGTTGATATGAATCTTTTAAGGAGCATTTCAAATTGTTGAGTGACAAAGTCTCTTGTAAAAGTCATATGTTCAAATTTTATGTGAATCTCATGAAATAATGTAAGTTATATTGGTAATCCTACTTATGAATGAAATGCGTTCTTTTATGATTGAAATTCTTAAGCATTTTATTAGATGGAAGAATATGAAACAATATCATATTTAATAAAAAAAATGTGATGCAAACATGTAATCACATGTAATTAGTTTTGAATCACTTGAAAATTTGCAGTAAATATAAGATGGAGTAATATTAATATGGGTATGTTGTAGTTGGCCCAAGACACAAATGGTCTACTATGTTTCTCTGAAAATAGAGCATAAATTCTTAGGAAAGTTAGGGTTCACACTTATCTAATTTTTATCATAAGTAAAACAACAAAAATTAGATTCACATAATTTATATAGTATATATCACGGGCTCCATCCACGACTCAAGAGAAATGCCATCACAATTATTCTGAAGATAGCAATATTCAATAGGATAATAAAATATGAATAATTTGCTCGATGCAGCATATTTGAAAAATAGGGGATCTCAACCTCACCCTAAAAAAGAACAAATCTAACAATAAACTAACCAAAAGAGAGCCAACACCCTCAACAAAAAAATATTTGTAAGCAATAAATACAACCAAATTATAATATAGCAACATAAGCCAATGTAATACCTAATGCATAGATAAAGAGATGATCTCAGCAAAACAACTCATTTGAAGTGTACTGACAAAATATAAAGTGGTCCTGTTTAAAATTTTCATTTTCGATCTTTTAATAAGTTGCTATATTAATTTTATTTCTCAAAATGTCAATACTGGTGTCACCATTTCCTATCTTTTGCATTCCCTTGATAGGGAGTCGTATTGTGCATACTCACTAGAAAAAAAAAGATTATTTTAGAATTTTATAAGAAAAAGTTTCAACATGAATTAGTGTTTATAAGATAATACCATAACTCAAAGAAATACTTATTAGTAATACACTATTTGAGAATATATGCAGAGACAAAGCATTCAAATATATGCAAATGAGAGTCATTATCAAGGTTGCCAAAGGCAAATTTGATTGATAGATAAGCCTCTTTTAGTGGAACATTGTTACATGAATTTGAATTTTTAGGCAAAAGCACACTTCCTTCAAAATTAAATGTCTTTTTTTCAACTCCACTTTTGGCACATTATGGTGTAAAAAAAAATAGGGATAAATAATTTATAGCCATCAAGTTGCAGTTAAAAACCTGAATTCCAATTAGAGGTATTCAAAATTTGTTGAAAACATATAATATTTTTTGTCATGGAGAGGAGATGAAAGGCTCCTAATCAAAGAAAAATATGTTGAGATTTTCATACTTGTTTTATACTAATATTGATGATATTGCACTTCAAAGAAGCGTATTTTTAATGTTTTGTTTAGGTATGTTGAATTATGGTCATTGGAGCAAAAAAATGCAAAAAGGAGCAAATTTGGAGCAAAAAAGACCAAAATATGAAGATTTGAACTAGGGCGTCGACGGTTAGCCCAACGGCACTGACGACGGTTTTTCTCGAGTGTCCAGAATCAAATATTCTAGAAGGCCGCCGACGGCGCCAT